TATCATGCCTTAAAGCCACCACAGAAACACATGCAAGAAACGTATCGGTACGTGTAGAGAATCAGCCTTTTAGCTAAGATCCAGCTCTTATCAAGGTACATGTAGGAAGGAGTGACCTCATAGCAATGACCAAATCTGAGGCTTCGTTTCCTCCAAACTACAGAGAACTCTGGTCAGGAGTGAGCAAACAGCACACTCGCGAGTGTCTGTAAACGTGTTCCCAGCAGAAACTGCTCGCAGGGTCCTGCTTTGTTTGAGCGGCTTTGATAATGTCACAGAAGCTTTCGGGGAGACTTAATAGCAGTAAACACTCACGATGTTTCCAGCCAGAAGCTCCCACAGAGAGAAGCCACCCCACCAGCTGATGGCCCACCTCCTGGCACAACGTGACAACTCCTGTATCCTAAAGGGAAGGGCCTCATTATATGAGGACGGTCTAAGGAGGCAGGGAGCTTATGCCTTGTTCTCCTAAGGAGCCTGAGGACTCTGCAACCCAAGGTGATATCCTCATCACTGTATGACACTCGACCCTCTCCACACCCCTTGGTAGAGAGGGACCTCTAGCCACCGTGGTATGCACCGGGTCTCCACCTCAGACACAGAGTTCCTAGGGTTTCTCCCGAGCCGGACTCTCTGCTCCCTGTGGACCCTTACGTGCCCCTGAGCCCATATGAGGTGGAATCCTACATCCCAAGGATCTGGTGGACTCAGCTTCTGACTTCTGGACACCTTGCACATCAGGCGAGAGTCTGGCAAATTCGACAACCATCCCAGAGAACTGAAGAGCCAAATCTTAGTTCAAGCGTATTCAAGGGCCCCCGGCATCCTGGCCTCCCCAAGTGGGACCTCACGGAAGCGCCCAGTTCTCAATTCTAGTAATCCAAAACTGCAGGCCGCTAACCGCAGGCCTCCCGGTCCCCGGGACCCGACCCTATCCGCATTTCTGCGCGAAAGTCCCCCTGTTCCCCCCAGGTTCTCTGTGCACTGGACACCCAGAGCACCGGCCCGACTCACCATGCTGCCAGCAGTCCAGCACCGCCGCTACTCGGGGATAGGCGCTGGTCTGCGGAGGCTGCGCTGTCTCCTGGCAACCCGGACGAGATCCCGCGCTGGTTCTCAAATCTTCGCGAGACTCTCCTCGGCGCCGCCGCCCCACCCACCCCCAGGGACCTCGACAACCGGGAGTGCGTCCCTAACGACGCGCCCGAAGACGAGGTGCACAGCTCACAGCTGCCGGCTGTTGCCTTCAGTGCAGTGTATTGCTGGTCTTCTTCCCGCTAGCTCTCGAGCTACAAAAGCGACGGTTCCTTCGGTTCTCCAGAGTCTACATGGCGGGCGCTCAGAGAAGAATAAAGAAGAGAATGTCTGAATGCTTAGTCTGCCACCCAAGCTCGGTTCCCAAATTGATTCAAATGTGCGCTAAGAGCCCGCTCCTGCGGTTCATCCACCTTGCCCCGCTTGTGAAAATTCCTTTCACATGATACCCTGATGAGACTGAAAATCTTAGGCTGGGCTTCCAGAAACTCGGGAAAGAAAGAGAAAGGCTGCGGGTGTTGTGCCTGTAATCACTGCACTGGGTTGGAAGCTAGCCTGGGCTACATAGTGAGTTCTAATCCAGCCAGAGCTACATACCAAGACCCTGGCTCAAAACAACAACAGACAAACAGAAAAAAAACCAAAAGAAGGGCCAAGAAAAAAAATGGCTTGGCAGAACTGGGCCCGCATGCAATTCAGCAGCAGAGTATTTGGGAAGACATGCTGAGTGTGCCCAGAAACAGAAGGGGCAGCCAGTCACACTTCCCTGTCCGCTTTCCACAACCGTAATATCCAACCAGGAGAGAAAGGCTTGCTCAGTAGTGGGGATCTGAGAGTCATAGCAATGAGTTCCTCTTGTTTGCCTACCCACCCCCCACCTTCCCCCCACACAGAGATTCTTGGAAAAGAATGGGCAGCTGGAAGAACAGCACTGAATCCTTGTGAATGCTCAAACAGTGACTTATTTATAGTAAACCTTAACAAAGAGCCAACATGACTGCCAGACTGCTTTCTGTCAGTGAACTCTACGGTGAGCGCAGAGGGGCAAGGGGTTAGGAGTCTCCCAGAGGAGACTTGACATGAGGCAGTGAAGTAGCACAGTGGAGTAGTTATCGAGCCCTTACCCACCACAGGGTAGGTGCCTCACGTTGATTTGCATTTTTCCCTCATTAGTCTACTGGGGAATCCTGAACTAAATAAAAGTATTAACAACCCCTTTCAGCTGGGCGGTGGTGGCGCACGCCTTTAGTCCCCATCGCTTGGGAGGCAGAAGCAGCCAGATCTCCCAGTTCAAGGCCAGCCTGGTCTACAGAATAAAGAGTGAGTTCCAGGACAGCTAGAGCTACACAGAGAAACCCTGTCAAAAAGCAAAACAAGCGCCGGGTGGTGGTGGTGGTGGTGGTGGTGGCGGCGGCGGCGGCGGCGGCGGCGGCCTTTAATCCCAGCACTTGGGAGGCAGAGCCAGGCGGATCTCTGTGAGTTCGAGGCCAGCCTGGGCTACCAAGTGAGTCCCAGGAAAGGCGCAAAGCTACACAGAGAAACCCTGTCTCGAAAAACCAAAATAAATAAATAAATAAACAAACAAACAAACAAACAAAAAACCCTTTCAGCAAAAAGGGCAAGAATAGGAAAACTAGTTCAGGATGGCAGAGGAAGGGTTTTTGTTTACCAGAAATCAACAGAACAGCTTGACTTTCCGGTATGGGATTACAGAGGTGAACAGCTTGGAGAGCACAGGCTGGAGATTCCCTAGGCTCCAACAAGACACACCCTGATAAGGGCTTTTCCTGCAGAATTTAACTCCGGTTCAATTCCCAGCACCCACATGGTAGCTCACAACTGTCTGCAACTCCAGGATCTGACACCCTCACACAGACACACATGCAGGCAAAACACCTGTGCACAGAAAATAAAAATTACATATATCCACATATAACCTATTGACTATGTAACAGAGAACCCTAAAGCACAGTGACAATGCAGTGACCTAATTTGTTTTGCGTGTGAATCTGAAACTTGGCTATGACTAGTGGGGTAGCCTACCCAATCCCCTCATCACCCTCTTTCTGGAAAACTCAAAAGTAGCATCTGGAACCACCTGAGCATAGTCAGACCAGCTGTTAGCGATGATTTCAAAGAGATTGTCAGCCAGAATGTACACAGGTGGAGTCTGGGTAGCCTGGTTTTCTCACCACATGGTGACCTGGTTTTTACAAGAGTCTTCCAAGAAAGCTGAACTTTTTTTTTTTTAATGACCTAGCCTTGGAAGTCACATGGTACACATCTCCCACACTCCGCTGGTCAGTGCAGTCACAGGCTCTGACAACTCTGAAGTAGACTGGTTCTGGAAGAAACACTTGCAGTGGGTTTGGTTGGTTTGTTGAGGCAGGGTCCCATGCAGCCAAGACTGACGGCAAAGCTGCCATGTAACAGAGGAGGATCTTGAATCCCTGTTCCTCCTGCCTCTGCCTGTGAAGTGTTGGGATTACAGGTGTGTAGGACCATGATCTGCTCCACGACATTTTAGCTGCCACAGTCATTTTGAAAAACACAGCATGCTGCCCCAGCTGACTAGGAGTGGCCTATGCCCAAACACTGTGGTTGTGGTCACCAGTGTGGTCAGTGGTCACTTGTGCTAACCCTATACCCTAGCTTTGCCCCAGGAAGGGAAGTAATGAAAAAAAGTGACCATTGGCTCAGCTAGTACTGGTGGGGCTTCAGAGGGCTTTCACCAGCAGGTGGGTGTGTTTCCTTGTTTTGTAAACTAAAGAAAAGGAGAACTATTAGCTGTCTGGAATTGCCCTTCAGGCTCAAAGGCCACAGGCTACCTAGTGTCCGCTAGATCTGTTCAGGAAGCCGGAACTTTGACTCAGACCCTCCTGAATGAATGAAACTGTTCGGCTACTGTCCTCTTAGCCATCCAGTGTGCCCAAGTCTGCCTGCCTTGCCCGTCGGTTCATTCTCCTCTCAGCCTTCTCAGCTACGAGTAACTCATTCTCCCGGATGGTTGTTTGCTTTGTTTTGTTGTTTTGGGGTTTTTGTAAAAGAGCACAAGGATTTTAGGCTGGGCCTTCTGACTTCTAGCCCTGACTGTGCAACGTGAGGAAAGTTACTTTCCCGTCTCTGTGCTCAGTATCTTCAGATCTCTGGCAGGAGTAGAGAGATACTGTGTGTCTTAGGGATTACTATTGCTTCGATGAAACACCATGACCAAAACAGCTTGGAGAAGAAAAGGGTTTATTCAGCTTACATTTCCACATCACAGTTCACCATCAAAGGACGTCAGTCGGGGTAGGAACCTGGAGGCGGCAGCTGATGTAGACGCCATTGAGGAACTTGGCTTGCTCCCCATGGCTTGCACAGTCTGCTTTCTTACAGAACCCAGGACCACCAACCAAGGGATAGCATTACCCACAGAGGGATGGGCCCTCCCACATCAATAACTAAGAAAATGCCCTACAGCTGGACATTGTGGAGACATTTTCTTAATTAAGGTTCCAGTCTCTGAGATGACTTCAGCTTATGTCAAGTTGACACAAAACTATCCAGCACACCGTGCAAAGCAAGCAGGCTTGATGCGGGACTAGCGTTTAGAGATGGGACTCCAGTTGTGGGCTCTCAATATGTCCAAGGCCTCCTTTTTTCCAGGTCACACCCCCTCCCGGGCCTCGCATTCTCGGTATGGATTCATATAACATTAATTAGATTCACAACTCCAGGCTTATAAGCTGGGAGTTCCGGGACTGCTTTGACCCTTCTTGTGCCACCTCCTTTCTTAGCCCCTTGGGCCCCTCACGTACTTGGCGCCCCACAAATGCCTAGGGGGTATATGGATGGATGGACAGAAGCCCGTGCAGCTTGTCAGTGCGCAGGAGCCCTGGACTGCTGTAGCCCTGGGTCCTCTAAGGGCTACTCCGTGCTGGAGGGGTAAGGGTGTGGGGGTGTGGGTTGTTGTCGGCCAGGTCGGCAGGGGGCGCCCGAGGAACAGGGCGGAGCCGCACCTGTGCTGCTGGCTGCTAGGGATGGGGAGGGGACCGGCGCCCGAAGCAGCTGCGCGCCCCGCCCCGCGGGCTCCTCCCAGCCGCCGCGGCCCCTTAGCTGCTGCCCCGATGCGCTGCTCCCGAAGCCAGGACCCAGTAGTCGCCAGAGCGGTTGGAGCACCCGGGCCGGCTCCCGCCGCCGCTGCCCACACCCCTCGCGGACCCCATTGGCCGCATGGAGTCTCCGGAGGGCGCTGGTCGGGGAGGTGAGTCCGATCCGGGTCCCCCGAACCCCAGCAACAAACCGCAGCCCCTCCCTCTACCCATTGGCCCGCTGCTCCCGGGGCCTGGAGATCTGCAAATGCCTCCTGAGCCGGCCGGTCCGACTCAGAGCTGGGGGCAGAGGAGGGGGCCGGGCCGGCGCCTTGGAAACGTGCGGGGACCCGGCTCGGGAAACACAGACTGCATCTCTTCCCCGGCTCTTCGAGCTCCGGAAGCCTTGCTAACTGCCTTCCTAGGCGGTGGCGAGGGGTTTCGCCCCGAGCCCCCTACCAGTCGAGGCTGGGAGTGGGGGAGGGGCATGCCGGGACCCGAGTTCGGGGTCTGGAGAGGCGATCCGTGGGGGCGATGCTACCCGCTTGTTCACGCGTAGGCTTTGTTCGCCCCAGCGGCGAAACCAGGAGGAATGGTAAGAGGCGGAAGGGGGTCTGGGGCTCCGGGCTGAGCTGGGGTTTTGGTGAGGTCATGGCGCATGCACCCAAGCTCCTGGTGCTGCAGGGCAGCGGTGTCCGTGCTGCCCAGCTGCCACATATTTGGAAGGGAAGGTGTGAATGGTATGCTCCCTCTCTCAGCAGCTGGGGACCCTTGAGGACGAATATCCTACCGCGAGTCTGCCCTCCTTGGAGTCTGCCCATCCGCAGGTGGCTGATAATAGGGGGGAAACTCTTAAAAATCACCCCCACCCCCCAACCCTTCTCAGCTTTCCAGAAAGCTTTTCAGGGATCAATCGCTGTGGGAACTTGGATGTAAGCTGAACAATCCTTCGCTTGCCTAACCATGCCCAACACCTCTAGGATTTCCTGAAGGTCCCATCTCAAAGAGCCACCAGGTGCCTGAGGATTTGGCCAGCTTGCCATTCTGCTGACAGCCCAGCCACATGATGGCTTCTTCTGAAGCCCAAAGGGCTGCCCACTGGGAGTCGTCCCCCAAGCTGTCTCCTGTGTCTGCAGGCGGGGAGCAATGTCCTGTTTGAGAACCCTTATCCTCCTAAGCACTAGACACCCTCCAACCAGTGGGATGGGTTGTGCTTTGTCCTTGTTTTGGGGGGCGGGGGATTCAGAACTGGCGCTATTGACAGCCCCAGGACTCTGGGTCTTCCAGCACCAGCTCTGTGGGTGCCAGAAGGTAGATGCAAGGACTTGCTTGCCGAGAAAGCGAGCTCAGGGCTATTTTTGAGCTATGCGATGTTCGCAACCTGCCTGTGCCCCCTGAACCTCCGTTAGCCTGGCTGTCAGTACGGACGACAGCCCCTTGTACAGGGCAGAGGCTTTTCTTTCCTTCTCTGGAGAAAGGAAGAACTTGCCCAAAAGCTTAAACGGGGATGGAACGAGTTGTTTCTGATGTGTAAATGAGGGGCTGGGGGCCTCAGACACCTGATTCAGTGAATACCAGCTACTTCATTCTGTGCAGGTACTGTGCCTGCTTGTAGGAGGCACAAACTCAAAGGGCTGGTGCTCTTGAGACCTTTAACAGGGTTTACTTGTCTGCATCCTGAGCTAGGGAGCTCTACTCGGTGGGACTTCATAAGGCCTCATGTGGGTAACTATGACTGTCATATCTGAGTTACACTTTGTTTTGGAGAGTGTGAAACACACACCAAAGCAAAGCCCAGTATGATGGAGGTCTGTATCCTACCTCCCAGGACCACAGCCAGGCTAGCTCATACAGATCTTGTCAGTATACCTTCAGTATTTTGCATCAAATCTAGACTCATTTTCATCAATAGCCATTGAAGAAACTACCTCCCAAAAGTGAAATTTTTATAAAGTATCGTTAAGCTGGGGGTCCGACTCTGTAGTGCTGGCTATCCGGCACTTCCTACGCAGACCAGGCTTGCCTCAAACTCGTAGAGATCTGTCTACCTCCTGGGTGCTGGGATTAAAGGTGTGTACCACCAGGCCAAGCCTAATATGCAATGTTTGTAGCTAAATTTTTTTGGGGGGGGACAAGGTCTCATTACATAGCCCTGAGTGACCTGGAGCTCACAAAGATCTGCCTACCTCTATCTCTTGAGTGCCGGGATTAAAGGTGGGCCCCACCAGACCCAGCTAATAAATTTTGGGGTGGTTGTTGTTGGTTTTTCAAGACAGGGTTTCTCTGTGTCACAGCCCTGGCTGTCCTGGAACTCACTTTGTAGATCAGGCTGGCCTTGAACTCACAGAGATCCACCTGTCTCTGCCTCTTGAGTGCTGGGATTAAAGGGGTGCGCCACCACTGCCCAGCTACTAATAAATTTCTTAAAAGTGTGCAGACCATGGAGTTGAAGGATGTGCATGAAAGTGTAAAAGATGCCCTCCTTGAGAAGCCCACCTGGTGCCTTGAGGGACCAAGTCTCTGTCTCTTCCTCATCTCCAAGGGATCCCCAGAGTCAGGGAAACAGAGGCTGTGGCCCTGCACTGAGAACACGAGAGTAGATGTGGGGTCTCAGATGTGATGGTATGCATTCAGGGAGAGATGCTGGGGAATGTGGCTCAGGCGGCCCCTACCACTGCGACAACCTCGCCTTCCTGGTGGTCATTTTGTTTACATTTATTTATTCATGTCATTAATTCATTTGTTCACTTGACCAATGGCATAAAGCGTGGCCAGGCCTTTGGAGCCCAGCAAGATTTGAGCCTAGTTTCCAAGTAACAAATGTGCTAGAAATAGGGCAACAGCAAAGCATTATGTGACCAGTTAGCCCTTAGGAAACCTGGTAGGCAAGAAACTCGGCACCCAGCTCCAGTCTCCACCTACAGGTTAGGGTAGCAGCAGCAGCAGCACCCCACCCCACCCCACCCCGCCATACAGGTGGTATGGGACCAGAGCCAAGGATCACTGTGGAGTCCTTCCAGGGCATCAGACACCCTCTTTTCTCTACCCTGTCCAGGGTGACTCGAGAAGATCTGAGCCCATTCAGCTATTGCTCAGACAGTCGGCCAGTATTTGACCCTGCCCTGGCCTGCCTAATACAGTGGCTCTGCTTCCTACCTGGGAAGGACAACAGATTTTGCTGGTGGAAAATCTGTTCCTTTTCCCTACAATACCTTGGAAAGAAGGTGCAGACTAACCTGGATGATTCTTAGCACAGTCATTTGTTAACTGTGGGGCCTTGGGGTCATCAATCCAGACAGACATGAGGGTCATCCATTGATACATACACACAGATGGGGGTCACAGGCTTCCTCTGACCTGGTATATTTTGACTTCTGGCCTCAAACTCATGAACCACCTGCTGCCACTTCCCAACTGCTGGAATTGTCAGTGTGGCCACCACACCAGCCTCAAGGTTGGTCAACTGACTTGTTTGTAGACAGTCTCACCGAGCCCTGCCTCTACCTCCCAAGTGCTGGGACTATGGGCGTGTACCATAAGAATATTCTTGATGGTGACAATTCTGTTACAGAATAGAGACAGGACCAAGGCCAAAGCAAGATGGAAAAAAACAAAACTAGATACATGATGCTACTTTAAAGACTTTACAGATAACTCTTACCTAGTGTGCATGATGGTCTTGGTTTGATCCCCAGGACCCCACACAAAAGAGGTCCTGCATCTCATTGACTCTAAAACTTTATGGACAAAATTCGAAAAGATTAATAAGGCCACTTGTCCTAGGGGCTGAAGACTCATGTGATCCCAGGATCTCTAGTGAGGGGTGCAAGATAGGGGTCATACTTGCTATATAGCTAAGGTCCTAGATGGGGTCCCTAAGCACAATACCTCAGAAAACAGAGGCAAGTGGGAAAAGCAGCATTTCTTCCCTTCCACGTAGACTGTGTGACCTCTCATAACAATACAGATAGACTTGGAGTTCAGAACCCTTCAGTACCTTTCCCAGCACACTCCAATAGAAGCTATAGTTCAGAGGAGGTCCACTGGTCCTGCACACAACCCCACTGTGGCCTTCTCCCCATCCCCTGCTCCTGCACTCCTGGCCCCACCTGAGATCCACACCCACCTAGCTTGCCTCCGATGGGGAAAGACTGAAGTGTTCATGGATGCTCCAGACCCACGTCTGCTGCCAGCACATTCCACCAGGAAAGGCAGGCTAGCCTGACATGCAGCTGTCAACAGTGGGAGCCTGGGCTGTGGCCTCCTCAGTTCAACTCTTTTTCACAGCAGCAGCAGCTGCTCTTCTCAGTGTGCTCGGTGTTCATCACCCAGGGCTGTCAAAAATAATCCATCCCAGCACAGATCCACAAATCACACAAGGGCTTTCATTCACCCAGGTACTCACCGAGTGCCTTCAGGTGGGGGTCAGACACACCATGAAGGACCTAGAAACCAGAGAGGGTAGTTGGAGGGTCTGGGAAGAGCCCTGGAGGACAGGGCAGGGAGGTAAGGAAGGCAGGTATGCTCTCCTCTGGGAAGATGGTGACCCGGGGGACAGGCACAAGGGGACACAACCTGAGTAGCTGTTGAGATATCTGGCAGGGGTTGAGGAATGGCAAGGAGGCTGCTGAGGGGAATGGGATGGGAAAGGAAATAAAGGGACCTGCTAAGGGCTCTGAACTGTCCCATAGGAGAAGCTGCCATGACTGCGTATGGAGGTACAGGAGAGTCCAGAACTCCACTAAGTCGTGACACCAAGCACTAGAAAGGAGACCCCAGTCCTAGTGTGAGATGAGGAGCAGTCTCCACCCCAGCAGATCCCCGAGGGACTCTTGTTCTCCAACAGAAAATTGTTAAATAAGAAAAACAAACAATCTACTTTTTGAAAAGCGCATTCACCAAACTGCAGCGAGGCTGGTAGTGAAGGATGATGGAATAGAAGGATGCCAACTCTTACTTCACTTCAGTTTCCATTTGAATCCAAACACTACATAGGATTTTCAGAAGGAAGTCAGTCCCCAGCAGAAAGACAAGAACTCACAGGTTCCTTCGTTAAACCCTAGGCCAGCCAAAACCTAGACAAACCGCAGTATAGGGACAGTAGAGCCTTACACTGGCAAACCTGATGTGGAATTCCCATACTAAGAGCCCCCTCAAGTTGCAGTGCTGAGTAGTCTGTCTGTCAATCCACTGTCCGTCTGTCCACTGGCAGATATCCTTTGCCTAGTCACCCAGAGAGGACAGGGCCACAAGTGAGTCTGGGAACCCCTGGCCACAGCAGAATGTCCGAGGACCTGACATGCCAGCTCCTCATATTCTTCCCCACTCGCCGCAGATCCTGGTCCTGGAGGGATGTGGGGGTTCCCATGCGTGTGGAGGTGACACAGTGTCTTGGTTGCAGAGATTGTTAAAGAAGTCAAGGTGCCACAGGCTGCCCTGAATGTCCCAACTCATGAGACAGGGGACACTTGCCATACACCTGTGACAGAGGAAGAGGGAGTTGGCATCCCAATACCAGCACCAGGGTTCCTGCAGGTCACGGAGAGGAGGCGTAAGTATCACTGACCATCCCAGCAGCAGAGAAGAACCCCAGTCATTGGGGACAGAGCAGGCTGAGGGCAAAAGGCAGCAGCACCACCCAGTGATGGGCAGCTAGGCATGCAGTTGCCCATCTGCAAAATGGAGGAGCTGAGAAAGCTCTCCAGTCTGGAGTGTGCAGACCGACTGGGGATCTAAGTGTGCCTGGGTCTTGTCTAGTACTGGCTTTACAGAAAGTGCCAGTTCAGGGAATGGCTCAATGGGTAAACTGATCGCTGTGCAAACATAAGAACCTGAGTTCAGATCCCCAACACTCCTGTCAAAAAAAAAAAAAAAGCGAAGCATGATGGTACATGCTTATAATCCCTGAACCGGGGAGGCAGGAACAGAATCCTTGGGACTTCCTGGCCAGCCAGTATAGCCACATTGGTTAGATGAGAGTCCCTATCTCAAAAAGTAAAGCAGCAAACAATTGAGTTATACACCCATCAGCTTTGGCCTGCATGCATGCACACATGTATGAAAACACACACACATAACCAAGTGTCAGGTCTCCCTGTGGGAAGAAGCCTTCATCACGCGGGACTGAGGGTAACGGTGTCTCCTGCACCCCCAGAGCCTCTGAGCAGTGTCTCCTCTCTGGAGGTCCACTTCGATCTCCTGGACCTCACTGAGCTGACTGACATGTCTGACCAGGAGCTGGCCGAGGTCTTTGCAGACTCTGACGACGAGAACCTTGCCACTGAATCCCCAGCAGGTGAGGCTGCAGTGGTCTGGGGGAAAGGAAACATAGAGGAGGTGGTCTGGGCCCTGTTCCCCTCAGATTCCGACTTAGAAAACACTTTTTCCACCCAACTGTGGATGTAGCACTTGTCCGCACATTGTGTCCCTTATTTACATCTTGCACTGCTATTTCCCACATAGGAAGGAATTTCCCTCCTGTCTCCTTCTCCTTGACTTCTCCCCATGAACAACAGGAAGCTAAAGCCATTGTTCCTTGAAAATATAACTTACTGGATGTGGATTTTAAGTTAAGCCACGCACAGAGAGAGGGGGACATTCACCAACCTGGCCCCTCCTCAGATCACCTGACTGCCTAAGCCTCTGGAAGGGTGCTATCACCTGGAGCCGGCTGTGTGGTGAAGACCGCAGCCTCACCGTCTTCCCATGCTCTCCCGAACCCCATGCCAGCAGCAAATGTTCCAATCCCTATGGCCAGAACATACAGTTTGCCACAAATCCTAATTGGGGACAAAGCCTTCAATCAGTCTCCAATGGGGAAAAAAATATTTTTGGTTTTTCTAGACAGGGTTTCTTTGTGTAGTCCTGGCTGTGCTGGAATTTATTATATAGACCAGGCTGGCCTCAAACTCAGATCTGCCTGCTTCTGTCTCCTGGGTACTGGGAATAAAGTGCTGATTTTTTTTTAAAGACATGATCTCACTGGACGGTGGTAGCGCACACCTTTAATCCCAGCACTCAGGAGGCAGAGGCAGGCAGATCTCTTGAGTTCAAGGTTACCTGGTCTACCCAATAAATTCCAGGAGAGCCAGAACTACACAGTGAAACCCTGTCTAGAAAAACAAAAGACATGGTTGACCTCTCTTTGTAGACCAAGGTGGCTTCAAACTCTGGAGATTCAACTGCCTCTACCTCCCAAGTACTAGGATTAAAGTCACCACCACACCTGGTCTCCCAACATTTTAAAAAAGATACCAAGGTGACCTTCAGCTGTCCACTTTGTGCTGTGGGGTAGGAAAATCAAAGGAGCTGAGCTCCACTCCCACCCCCAAGTCAGAACATGCACACATGACCTGGGATAAGACCTATACACCAAGGACTTCATGAAAGTCAGTTACCATCCTTTTTCTCTTTTTGAGACAAGGTCTCACCATGTAGCCTGTTGCTCTTAAACTCAGAGATCCACCTTTTTCTGCCCCACCAACTGCTGGGAAATCACTACCCTTATTAAGGTACCACCAGCCCCAGGGAGGCTCTGAAGGAGCTGCTCACAAGCTTCCTGGAGGTTGGTGGTGTGGCCTATATGTATCAGGGGAGCTGTGGGCTCTGAGATAGGACAGCTACATGAAGGGAGACCCTGGCTCCACCTCATGGGTATTCTTGTCCCATCTTTCCTGCAAAATGGAGCTCTGCCTGATCTGGTGGCATTCCTTAGCTCTACCTTCCCTTCAAGCCTGCATGTGTGTGTGGTGAGCCAGGAATGCCCCACGACAGCTCTGGCTGGACAAGAAGAGTGGGGAGCTCAACTCCACCTGTACCCCTAGCCCCATACAGCCTGAACCCTGGAAAGGGACTGAAGTCTCATGATAGGGCAGAGCCTATCAGGCTTGCAGGGCCCTAGCTGTACTACAGCACTTAGGAAGTCAAAGCTTTGGTAGTGAGTGCCCTGTCAGGTTCACATAGGGGATAGGGAAGACAGTCTCAGGACTTAACTTGAGCCAGGCATCTTGGTGCATGGCTTTAATCCCAGCACTCGGCAGCCAGAGCCAGGTGGATCTCTTGAGTTTGAGGCCAGCCTGGTCTATGTTGTAAGTTCCAGTCCAGCCAAAGCTATTATATAGTGAGACCTTGTCTCAAAAAACAAATTAAAGAACAAAAACAAAAAACTTAGCCTTGACTCCAGTGACTCCAAGGGACATCAGGAAAGTCCTTGGTGATCATATAAAATCTTCAGTACTGTGGCAGACACCCAGAAGCATATGTATACCCAGAAGCCTTATCAACAAGATTGGCAGAGGCACAGTGTGGAGCCTCAGCCTTTGGCCCCCAATTTTACTGAACTCTAGATTCTGTTTTCAACAGGTCTGCACCCACTCTCTCGAGCTGGCTGCCTACGCTCCCCCTCCTGGACAAAAGCAAGGGCAGAGCAGAACCGCGAGAAACAGCCCCCCAGTGACCCAGAACGGCAAGGCACAGTTGTGGACACATTCCTCACTGTGGAGGGGCCCAAGGAAGATTAGCCCAACTCCATCTGTTCGAGAGTTGCTGAAGGGCTGGGCCAGACCCCTGTGATGGTGAATCAGGACAGTACTGTCACAAGAGATGTACTCCGTCAACTCCAAGACTCCAGCCATCACCTGACAACAGGTCAAAGTCTGGGTGCCAGGCACAGGCCTCTGGGCACCCCAGCACAAGCACAGCCCAGTGGCCTTAGGTCCAGCTGGTTCCTGGACCCTGAATCAGGGATGACACTGTATGGAATCTCTGCCTTGGGATGAGAGGAGGGATGGAGTGGATAATGGTGGCTTCGGTCTTCTAAAAACTCTCTAGGACAAGACTTCTTGTCTCTTGTGAGATTCCAAATAGGTTCAATGTATGGGGATCCAAGCCCATGAGAGTTGCCCAGGAACCTGTAGGGGTGTATATCCAACCTCAGTGAGCTCATAAGCCCAAAGTAGATTTGGTGGTCAGTCATGCATTGGCTCTGCTGTCCAGCCAAGTGGTGAGGACAGGTTTACTTCGCTAAAATTTCCACCTTAAAATTTGCACCCTTCCTCTGCCCTGGGCAGGTACCACTGTTTCTAGTCTCCTCTCCGGGCCTGCTTCTCTTGGTCTGTGTGACAGCTCAAAGGCTGAGAAATTGTCCCATGTCTTCCTTACTTCAGAACACCAAACCTCAGTGACAACTCCCACATTGCTCGGATGTACAGAGTACTGGCTCCCCATTCCTGTGTCTCTCCTAAGGGCATATACTGTGCCTATCCTCCACATCCCATTGCCTAGCTCAACCACCCACATAGCCTGTCAAATGCTCAGTTGGGAAGCTCTGACACTGTGGATGTCTTGGGAGCAGCTCAGGGGAGGCAGGGCCAATCTAGCCACCCACTCTCCTGTGAGATGTTGGACACTCAGTTAGATGTCTCAACACTGCTTTCATGTGCTCAAAGACAAAACAGACTGCTGCTCTGACCATGAATCAAAGACTGGTTTTGAAATAAAGGTTTACTTGCTTTCTGTCCCCAGGCCAGCCTGCCCTGCTGCCCACTGTCTTCTGCGGGAGACAAGGCTTTTGATCTTCATTTGCAGTGAATGCTACTGAGGAAAAAGTGCCCTGGGATTCTTCTGGGGGGTGGGAGCAGCATCCAGGATGCTCCACTTCAGAGCCACCCTGCCTCTGCTTGACCCTTAAATGTGGGTTATTTCTGCCTGTCTCCTGAAATGAAAACCAACCCTGGTTTCCAAAGGACACAACCCAGCAGCTGCCTTTTAATCCCAAGGTAGCTGTGTACCCTTGGCCACCCTCCAACCTACCAGGGTCTTACCCCCACCACCCACTCTTCCGCTGGAGCTTCCATGGGGCACATTTACAGAGTGGCATTAAAGCCTCACCATCTTTGGACCAGTGGTCCTTCTAGCTGATATCAAAGTGCCACTGGGGTTCTCCTGTGCTGTTCTAGGCTGTATTTATTTGAGCGGCATTTTAGGGGCAGGTGCCCTGAATTTCTAGTCTCTAAGAAATAAAATCCTGCCAGTTCTTCCAGACAACAAAGGTGGCCTGAACTGAAGCACTCTGCCCAAAAGCCACAGGGAAGCCCAAACCTTGCTGCTTAAATTAACCAGTGAAATGAGGCGATTATGAAGCCAGCCAGGAGTGACCACCTTCCTGCAGGCTCAGGTGACCATAACTTTCCACATGGGCAGCCAGGTCTACTGTGTACATTTTCTGGGAATGGTGTGATTCCTGGCACATTCTAAACACCCATGTCCCCTTTCCCTTCCCCCAGAGGGAGGCAGGCAGGGAGAAGCCCTGCCAACCTTAGTGGCTCTTAGTTCTGAGCAGGGAAGGATGCCTGGCTCACACCCCTTGCTGGCCTTTACCTGCTAGCATACTTTCAGGTTTCCATGACAGGTGGAGCAGCACCAGTATGGTGTTACCTGTTCTGCTGTCTAGAAATGGAGTTTTGTGACACACACCCCTTAAGTCACATAAAATAGGAAAATGGATTCCACTGATAAAGTACCAGCAGAGCAAGAGGATGCTATAGCTCTCCAGAGCACGGGGCTCAGAGGCGGATCTCTGGGAGTTTGGATCTGGATCAAACAAAGTGAAAATGTGGGGTGGCAAACCTCCACAGGGACACTGACCAAACAGGATGGGAGGTGCAGCCCAAGTATGGTTAGAAGTATGTTAACATCTCAGGATCTGGGGTGCACAGGAGCCCTGCTCCCAGATCATCTCAAAGGGTAGTAGATGACTGTGGTCTGCTGTGATTAGGGTCAATGGTAATTGCAGTCTTCCAGAGGCGTACACTGCCTGTCCTCCACATCCCACTGTCCAGCTCCTCCATCCCCACAGCCTATCACATGCTCTGATGGCATGCTCTGACACTGTAGATCTGCCTCAGGACCAGCCCACCCTACCCCACCACTGGTCAGTGACTTTGGAAAAAGAGTCCCACAGATATGCCAAAGTAGCAACCTCAAATAACCCTGTGACAATGCTGGCCCTAGAGTCTCTGCCAGAGTCTACGATGTCATAGGCCTTCTGGGGCCAAGGAATCGCCCCCACTTCATCAGAGAGGGAACCTACTACAAGACCTCTAGGGCCCTAAGTAGCTCAGTGAATAATGATTTGGTTGAGATCATGATATACACATTGAGCCCTGAAGTTTTTTTTTTTTTTTTTGAGACAGGGTTTCTCTGTATAGTTTGGGACCCTGTCCTGGATCTCAATCTGTAGACCAGGCTGGCCTTGAACTCACAGAGATCCACCTGTGAGCCCTGAAGATTTTAAAAATTCATATATTTAAAATGAATTCAATAATGTGGGGCTGGAGAGATGGCTCAGCAGTTAAGAGCACCAGCTGCTCTTCCAGAGGTCCTGGGTGCAATTCCCAGCAACCACACAGGGGCTCACAACTGCCTATAGTTCCAGCTCCAGGGGATCCAATGGGTATTGCAAGCACATGGTGCACATACATACATACATGTAGCCCAAACTCCCATACACATAAAATTAGAAATTAAAAAACATTTTTTAAAATTTAATAAAGTACATTTTACAAACAGCAAAAGTGGAAAGTATCTGTCCCCTGATAAAATTTCTGAGGAAAATACAATTTAGAAAATGTACCATATTATGTACACCCAGTGTGTCTGCTCTTTAACCAGGCCCCAAAGAAAAATGAAGGATAAAAAGGTTTAAGAGGCAGAGAGCAGGTCTCCACTCTCCTGACTAGTCACCCAGGAAGCCCATCAACATCAGTTAAAGGGCTGGAGAGAGTTCAGCTGCACAAGTATGAAAATCTAAGTACAGTTCCCCATCATCCACATCAAAGCCAGACACAAATGCACGCCTGTAATCCCAGCACCGGGAGGCGGAGACCGGAGGATCCCTAGAGCTGCTGGTACAAATGCACACCTGTAATCCCAGCACCGGGAGGCAGAGACCGGAGGATCCCTAGAGCTGCTGGTACAAATGCACACCTGTAATCCCAGCACCGGGAGGCAGAGACCAGAGGATCCCTAGAGCTGCTGGTACAAATGCACACCTGTAATCCCAGCACCAGGAGGCAGAGACCGGAGGATCCCTAGAGCTGCTGGTACAAATGCATGCCTGTAATCCCAGCACCGGGAGGCAGAGACAGGAGGATCCCTAGAGCTTGCTGGCCTGCAAATCTAGACAGATTCAGTAAGAGACCCCATCTCAAAAAACAAGGCAGATTGGCTGGCAAGATGGCTCAGTGGGTAAAGGCACTTTCTGCCAAGCTTAATGACTGTTGGAACCCACACAGTAGAAGGAGAGACCGACTCTCACAAGTTGTCCTCTGACCTACACACGTATACCATGGTGCATATGTGTTTGTGTACATGCATGTGCAGACACCAACACAACTAAATAAATGGAAAAAAAATCAAGATAGAAAGCAATCGAGGGAAACATACCATGCCAACCTCTGGCCTCCACATAATCATATGCACACATGTACACACATGAACACCTGTAGGCACACATACAAAAACCTTTAAAAAGTCAAGGGAGCCAATGGATTCCTCCCCAGGCCATGAGCAGACTTGAAGAGTGGGCTGATGCAGCTGATGGTGCTCCCAGGGAGTCCTGGAGGAGGTATGCAAGAACATTCTCATGGAACTCCAGGACCCCAAGCACTGAGGTCTGAGTGCAGGCCTCACCACACCCCAGGATCAACAGGAAAAAGATGCTTCTTTTAGCCCCAGGAGGCTTGGACTCACAAAGCCCTTCCTTTACTCAAGAGCTGTCCTACAACCAAATGGTTGATAAATAGGCACCAGAGACAGAGGGCTCAGCCCAAAACAACCCTTTTAGAGATTCAAAAAAAGAAAGGGGGGTATGGTACCGGAGAGAGGATTGCTGTAAAATGGAATTAAATCTGACACTCCACCAGTGAAGCAGACAATTCCCAAGGCTAGGCTCCAGGTCTGACTGATAAAATTTCTGATGATGCCACCAAGGCCAGGAATGGCCACACTTCTCTCCTTAGCCAGAGAGCTGCAGGTGTGCTGGCTTTCTTTCCTAAGGGCTGATCAGCTTAAGAAGCTAGCCTTCCCTTGATAACTGGTTTACATTTTTCATTAATTCTTCACCTAACTTCATCTGTGTTGGTTCAACATTCATCCTCTGAGCAATCACCTCAGAGGCAGCTATAAGGCTACAGCACACTTGGAAACTCCATCAGTTCTGTGTCCACTGGAAGTGTGATATAGCTCCTAATGGTCCTACACACAGAATCCCCAAAAAGACAACACACACTCATGGCTTCATAGAAGCCAGCGTCCAACTCCCTCTCTTATCTGAACTGACAGACCTCTAGGTTCAGGGCCGGGGCCTCAGGCTACACCTCTGATCCCTCAGCTATTACCTTGCTGGATGCTGCCAAGTCCCAGCTCCCTCTTCTGTGGATTCTGAATGGTCTTATCACCTCTGATCCCTCAGCTATTACCTTGCTGGATGCTGCCAAGTCCCAGCTCCCTCTTCTGTGGATTCTGAATGGTCTTATCACCTCTGATCCCTCAGCTATTACCTTGCTGGATGCTGCCAAGTCCCAGCTCCCTCTTCTGTGGATTCTGAATGGTCTCACCTAAAACATCTGTTTGCAGTTGTCCCTGTTTTAATTTGTTTTCCAGTTACTCTGACAGCTGCTCCGCACAGGCTGAGCAGCTCCCAGTCAACAGTGGTCACAGTGGCCACCCACAGGCCACAGCTATGCAGGGCTCTCCTGTAAGCACCGTTCAGTGCCTCCTTCCTCCCGTCCCTGATTCCAGTCTTTCAGCCCCTCAGGAAGGTCTGTGTCCTCCTCTAGGCTGCCGGTGCCCTCTACAAATTCCTCATAGGTGGACTTCTCTGCAAAGGGCCGAGGGCCCAGGAGCTCTATCATGTCGGCCTTCTCCAGCACTTCTTTCTCCAGGAGTCGCCTGCTCACCTGAAAAGGAGAGTTACCCATTAGGCTGCTGTGCCCAGGACAGGGATGGACTAGTGGTCCGGATGCAGGACATAACCTAACCTAAGGAGGCCCACAAAGATCAGTATGGCTTGACCATACCCCAACCTGGGACCCTTGACCTGGCTATCTCTGAGTGGAGCCCCACTCACCTTCTCTACCTGCTCCCGGCACTGTGTGAGCAGCTCCAGGGTCCGATCATAGGCAGACCTGACAAGGCACCGGACTTCCTCGTCAATGAGCTGGGCAGTTGCTTCACTGTATGGCTTTTCCACCATGGTTTCTCCTTGTCTAGGGAGGTCAAAGGACACCTGGCCTAGCTTCTCACTCATTCCAAACTGCACAATCTGAAGTATAGGAGGAGCCTAGGGTTAGTTGTGTCCAATGCAACTGGCAGAGTCACACACTAGGACACTGCTCCTTACCTGGGCATAGGCACTCTGGGTGACCTTCCTCAGATCATCCTGAGCCCCTGTAGTGATCTGACCAAAGAACAGCTGCTCAGCCACCCTACCCCCCAGCATCATACACATGCGATCGAAGAGCTGCTCCCGTGTGTAGAGGTACTGCTCACGGGGAAGGTACTGGGCGTAGCCAAGCCCCTTGCCCCGAGGTATGATGGACACCTGAAAAATAAGAGCCTGGAGCTGAAGAAATGGGTCAGAAGTCAAGAGCATGGACTGCTCTTGCAGAAAACCCAAGTTCAGTTCCCAGCACTCATATCAGGTATCAGGTGGCTTACAACCATCCTGAACTCCAGCCCCAGATCAGATGGCCCCCCTCCAGGACTCTTTAAGGACTGCACTCATGTGTACAACCACACACACACACACACACACACACACACACACACACACACACACACACACACACACTCTTAAAAAAAAAAAAGAGGCTGGAGAGATGGCTAACAGTTAAGAACATAACAATTAAGACCCAGGTTCAGTTCCCACCACCCACACAGTGGCTCACAACCACCAGTAACTCCGTAAGTTGAGATTCAGGGCATCTGACATTCTTCTGCTGGTCACCTGGTGCACATAAACATGCAGGCAAAACACTCACATGAATAAAATAAATCTTTAAAAAAATTAAAATTATGGGCTAGAGAGATGGCTCAGCAGTTAAGAGCACTGGCTGCTCTTCCAGAGGACTCGGGTTCAATTCCCAGCACCCACATGGCAGCTCACCACTGTCTGTAACTATACTTCCAGGGGATCCAACACCCTCAAGCAGACATGAATGTGGACAAAACACCAATGCACATAAAATAAAATTAAATTAAATCTTTAAAAAAAAATTAAAATTAATCTTTAAAAAAATCCAAAACCTTGTCTTTGTCAGCCTCAAACAAACTAACTGTTCCACCAGGAGCTATACTGGCCACGTCTCCCTTATGACTGAGGGAGGCAGGGTAAGAGCCCTGAGTTTGAGCCACTAGAGACCAACGGAGTTACCCTGAGGAGTAACACACCACAGCCTCAGTGTCTGACTGTCTACGAGGCTCTTCAGGAACTAAACGCACACTTACTCTGACAAGAGTCTGATCCAAAGCTTAAGACTTAAGCAAGGCCTCACTCAGAGCCAATACCTCCTGTTCTGCTTCTCCACCCCAAAAGGAACTGGACAAATTATAGACCAACATACTCCTTGAAAAGTAAAAGGGGGGCTGGTGAGATGCTCAGATGGTAAAGGCACTTACCACCAAGGCTTAGGACCTGAGTTTAATCCCCAGAACCCATATAGGAGAAAACTGGCTCCCATTTCTGACCACCATGTGCTCTCTCCTCTCTCTCTCTCCTCTCTCCCTCTCTCCCCCTCCTTCTCTCCCTCTCTCAAATGCAGAAAAAGGAGAGTAAAGGGCCATGTCTCTGAGGGTGCTGTACCTGTGTGGGCTGACACCTAGAAAGCCAGAGATGGCACCCGGGCCTAGAGGCTGCCAAGGCCATCAGCAGACACACTCAGCCTGAGAAACTGACCTTCAGCAGAGGATCTGCATGTTCCAAGAACCAGCCCACCACTGCATGCCCAGCCTCATGGTAGGCTACAGTTGTCTTTTCACTGGGTTGTAGGACCTGGGTCTTCTTCTCAAGGCCTACAAACCACAGTCCAAGTAGTGAGAAACGGGAAAATGTACACCCACAAACCCCCAAGGGCACCCAACAGTCTGGACTGACTGCCATGTTCCATTCCATGGTCTTGTGAGGAACCTCTCCCTCCCTCTGGATCAGACAGTCTTCCTTGAGCACCAGCTCCATCCTACTCTCTGCTCTGTAGTGAAACCTATCTCCCAGCACTGGAGAGCACCCCATTCTTCCAGTCTAACCAACCTGACTCATCCTGCTTTAGAAAGCCATTTTTAGGGATAGAGAGATGGCTTAACAGGTTAGGAACACTGGCTGCTCTTCTAGAAGACCAGGGTTTGATTCCCAGCACCCACATGGCAGCTAATAACCATGTGTAACTCAGTTCCAGAGGGATCTAACACCACCCCCAACACCTGAGGCAGGGTTTTTCTATTAGCCCTGGCTGTCCTGGAACTCGCTCTGTAGACCAGGCTGGCCTCAAACTCAGAGATCCGCCTGCCTCTGCCTCGAAAGTGCTGGGATTAAAGGTGTACACCATCACCACCCAGCATGACACCCTCTTTTGGACTCTGTGGGCACTACACACACATAATACACAGACAAACATGTAGGCAAAATACCCATACACGTAAAAGTAAGTCAATAAATCTAAAAAAAAATTTTAACAGCAAGCCACTGTCAGCCAATGAACTTATGAGTCAGAAGCACGGGGTCACTTTCTGTCATGTGTCAAGAAGCAACACCCATGCATAGCGAGACAAAGGGGGATGTTCTCAATGTCCAATCTGCACACCTATAGCAGGTACAGGACAAAGAGAAGCAGTTAACATCATGTGTTCAGCTGTTTAGACCGCCACTGCAAGGACTGATTAATTAGCTCACCAGAGCCACTGGACAGCCCTCAAGATTGTATGTACTCCTCTATGCAGTTAAACTTTAAAAGTGTAACTTCAATAATGAAGCTTAAGGATATCTGCCAACCTGGCTAAACTTCAGTTTTTGGCACAGGGATGTATACTACCATCTGCCTGATTCCCCTCTCTAGGAACCACACCAGACCAGCCGATGGCAGCATGAGGTACCCTCTTAGTTTCAAAGCCCTATGAGACCCTTAATTCACCCAACAGCTAGCTGAGCTGCTCCAGGCTGCTCCATGAACTACCCAGATGGCCTGTATACTGGCTGGAGACAGAAACACGTAACCGTCATTCCTGTAACAGTGCTGTCCCAAGAGAGTTCAAGCAGCAGGCGTCCTAGGATGGCCTCTGCCTAGCACGGGCTTTTCCTTGTAAATATCATTCTTCCAAGCTCTGCTCTTCCTCCCTCCAAGTAGATGTTCCTGTCTTCTACATCCACGCCTAGATCTGGCTTCCCAAGGTCTGCAAATGGCCTGCATATAATTCAGGGGGAGTGAACGCTGCTAAGAGAACCCTAGTTCTAAACTGGTTCAAAAAACTGATCATGTCTTTACATGCTGAAGTGAGGCTGAGCTATCCAAAAAATGCCTGTCCCAGGGGATGTGGGCTCACCTCCAATGACCCTCTCGATGGCTTGCTCAAAGTGCCGCTCCTGGACAGAAGAGCTAAGATGGCGGGCAGCAATCAGTGCTGCTTCATTGCACACATTAGAAATATCAGCACCTGAGTCAGAAAAAGAAAGTAAAGTCAGTGTTTCTGGCTGCTGGAGTTCTACCAAGATCAACTTCATTAAAGGAAAATCTCAAGTAGAAGCCAGGTTAAACTCCAGCAGAAAATGTAGGCAGAAATTACTTCACCAAAGTTTCTGGTTAGTCATGCAACTTTAATGAGAAATAATCCATGTATCATAAAGGCATATGCAACATTAACTTTTAGTAAACTTACCAACGTGATGGTTAGTATTAGCAACCTGAAAGACTCTGCAATCACATGAGGGACAGATCTCTGGACTTCTGTGGTCCTTTGAATGAGAACGGCCCCCACAGTCTTGTATGTTTGAATACTTGGTCCCCAGTTGACAGAACTGTTTGAGAAGGATTAGGAGGTGTTTGGGAAGGATTAGGAGGTGTGGCTTTGTTGGGGGAGGTGTGTCACTGGGAGTTGGGATTTGAGGTTTCAACAGAGTCCACACTATTCCCAGTTAGCTCTTTCTGCTTCCAACTAGTGGTTTAAGATGTGAGCTCTCGGCCGGGCGGTGGTGGCGCACGCCTTTAATCCCAGCACTCGGGAGGCAGAGCCAGGCGGATCTCTGCGAGTTCGAGGCCAGCCTGGGCTACCAAGTGAGTCCCAGGAAAGGCGCAAAGCTACACAGAGAAACCCTGTCTCGAAAAACAAAAAAAAACAAACAAACAAACAAAAAAAAAAAAAAAAAGATGTGAGCTCTCAACTCTCTCCCACTGCCACGCCTTTGCTCCACCATCACTGACTCTAAAGCCAGAAGCCCAAAATGCTTTGGTCATGGTCTTTTATCACAGCAAGAGAAAGGTCACTAAGACAGCATGTGGGTACTAACATGCATGGACTCACTGTTCTCCACTCCTGGGTGGGATGTGACCAGTTTCCTCAAGTTCCTGTCATTATGATTTCCCATCATGATGGACTGTAACCCGGAACTCTGAGACAAAAATAAACCCTTCTCCCTTAAGTTACTTTTTTCAGGGTTTTTTTTTCCAGCAACAGGAAAAGAAACGAAGACACCAAAGTTTTCAACTATGGCCCTAATCCTGCTCTAAGACACTTTCCATCATTGGAAATACATTATGCCTTTTATTTTTAATTCCTATTCCCACCCCAATCAATTACTAGTCTGTTTTCACCTCTGTGGACTTGAATTTTCTGGATCACTACTGAAACTCCAAACCCTCATGAGAAAAAGACTCATATAAGATGTGGCTTTTTATATCTGGCTTCTTTCTTTGAGCATTGTTTTTTAGACTTTTCTATGTTGTAGTGTGCATCAGTACCTCAGCCCTTTTTGTTAAATTTTATTTATTTTAAATTCTTGAGTATGTGTCTCTATTTTTGTAATATGCAGCACATGTGTGCTTGGTGCCCAGGGAGGCCAGAACTGGAGTGGTGGTTGTGAGTGACCACATGGGTGCTGGGAACCAACCAACCCAGGTCCTCTGCAAGAGCAAGTAAGTATTCCTATAGTCTCTGAGCCATCTTTCTAGCCCCTGGTATTTCATTCTTTTTTACAGCTACAAATTGTTGGATATAGTATATACCATATATTGCTGATCGACCCATCCATTGTTAGAAAGCTGACTGAGTTTTACTGAGGGACTATTACAAATAATGGGGCTATGAACATGCATGTTCAAGTCTGAAACACATTTTCAGTTCTCTTGAAAATACACATAGGAGAAGAATTGCTGGGTCATATGCTAACTCTGTCTTGCTTTTGGATTATCAAACTGATTTCTATAGTGGCTATACCATTTCCGTTTTATATTTCCACCAGCAACATGAGGTTCCAATTCTTGTTCTCAGCTTTTTATTTTTGTAGTATAGCCACCCTTTCAGGTATGAAGCTGTAACACATTGTGGTTTTACTTTATACTTCCCTAGTACTCAATGTTGAACACTTTTTTAATGTACTTACTGGACATTATTTGAAGAATTGTGTATTTAAGTCCTTCCAAGGGTCTCATAGTCTCAAAGATAGCCTCCCTACTGTGAGGATCATGGTGTGTACTACTATACCTCCTCTTTTTTTCCTAATGTATAAAAGCTTTTTAAATATTCTGCATACCATACCTTTATCAGATACATGATTTTCATTCTGTGGGTTATCTTTTCATTCTCCTGAGTGTTATCCTTTGAAACATAAAGATTTAATATCAATATGTCTATTTTTCTGTTTGTTTGTGCAAGCATTGGCAATTCAATGTCATAAAGACTCACCTATTTTCTTCTAAGCGTCATATAGTCAAAGCTATTAAATTAAAACCTTTATCCATTTTGAATTAATGTTTGCAGCTGGTAAAGTAAGGATCCAACCTCATTCTTTTGCCTGTGAAGACCCAGTTGTCCCAACACCATTTGTTGACGAGATGGCTCTTTCCCCAACTGTCAAAAAATCATCTGACTAGTGACGTAAAGCTTCTATCTGGACTTTCGTCTCTCTTCCATTGGCCACTGTCTCTCCTTTGCCAGGACCACACTATTTGCTTACAGTGCCTCTGTGGGAAGTTCTGAAACAGCAAAGTGTGAGTCCTTCAACCTTTACAAGACTGCTTTGGTTATTAGGGGCCCTTGCAGCTAGGTCCACTTGAATTTTAGAAATCAGTGTTTCCATTTCTGGCTTTCATTTCACCTCCTTCCTCCTCCTTGTGGAATCTGTAGGCATGAAAACACTGTTCTACACTGTGCCCTTTAACACAGATCTATAATTGGTTTTATGTCCTTGTTTTTTAAAGTTACAAACCAAAACAAAACATTTACCTACAGAGTCACCTTTGTAACTGTGTTTTTCTTTATGGCCTCAAGTTCTTATCTACCACCCTATTGCTTCAGCCTGAAGAGCTTCCTTCATCTCTTGCAGGGCAGATCTACTATGAAACAGTCCTCTGTCCTTCATAATCTGATTTTTCCTCACTTTAAACAATAGTGTTGGCGGTCTCAACACACTAAACTGACGGTTTCCTCAGCAGCTCAGCAGTGCCTCTGGGGCTCTAGTTTCTAAACAAAAGCGAGGTGCTCATCACTGAGGAACCCCCGAACTGTATGTGCCCTTCTCTGATACTTTCAAGAGTCTCTCTCGTACCTTTGGTTTTCATACTTGACTTATGAGTCTTACTGTGTGGGGGCCTGTGTTTATTCCTACTGTGGTCTTCCAAGGGCTGCTATGGAGAGGCAAAGAGGTCAGAAAACCCACTCTGTAGGTTCCCACCCATTTCTGGGGTTCAAACCACTCTGGTAGGAAAACAAGAATCCTAGCACCAGAGATGAGGTTTTGAAAAAGGAAAAGCCAAACAATCACTCCAGATGGGAGTTCAAGCCAAGATCAAAGTGTGACATGATTCATCTCTTCAGATGATCCTCCTCAGATTTTTTTTTCATCTCTGTAGTAAATTTCTAAATAGAAATCCACAAACTCAAATGGGTACCAACAGGTTTTAGGTCAAGAAGATCTGAAGCCTTTGAAATGTTTCAGGAGATTCGAAGTTCTATAGATCAGGGTGACCATTTGCCAGGACCAAATAGGCAGGTGTGACACCCACCAGTCAATACAGACTAATGCACTTGGCCCTGTGCGATGAATGGCTGAGCAACAACACTTACCAGTGAAGCCCGGAGTGAGAGCCGCTAGTTTCCTCGAAAGAGCATCTTTGGTGAGGCGTTGGTCTAGCTTGAGTGGACGCAAGTGGACCTTGAAAATAGAGGACCTGCCTTTGATATCAGGGGGACCTAATGAAGAAAATGAGACATACAAAATTATGTTCTCAGAGCTAACTACTTTGCAAAACTTCAAGGACAGCCAGCAGAACTCCCTGCCTGTATCAGCTGCCTGCAGCAAGGTGGAAATGGTAAACAAGCCCAAAGTGTACTTGCACTGGGCAATGCCATACATTAAAACACATTCTTGGACTAGGTATGTAGCTCATTGGTAGAATTGGCATGAACAAGGCCCTGGTTCAATCATCACTAACACACACACAACCAACATGCACATACCTACCTTTTAATCAATATTAAATCTATTCCCCAAGGCCATGTGACCCAATAGAAACTGTCCTGGACACAGGTAATATCTACCCAAGATCAATGTGCTCTACTTGGGAAACGTCAAGGGAAGGTGACTATCCTTGACCATTGGGGAGAAGTGCTGGGGGATGTCTTTCTGTATGCTGTGAATATATGCTGTTCCCATTGGTTAATAAGTTGCTTTGGTCTATGGCAAGGCAGGAGGGAAATCCAAGGAGAGAGATGGGAAAGAGAAAGGCGGAGTCTGGGGGGACTCCAGCCTGCTGCCCAAAGAACAACATGCCAGCAGATCGGTAAGCCATGCAACACATATGGCAAAACATAGATTAATAGAAATAGGTTAATTTAAGATATAAAAGCTAAGGACAGGTGGTGGCGGCGCACACCTTTAATCCCAGCACTTGGGAGGCAGAGGCAGGCGGATCTCTGTGAGTTCGAGGCCAGCCTGGGCTACAGAGTGAGTTCCAGGAAAGGCACCAAAGCTACACAGAGAAACCCTGTCTTGAAAAACAAAAACAATCAAACAAACAAAAATATATAAGAGCTAGCTAGCAAGAGGCCTGCCATAGACCATACCGTTTGTAAATAATATTAAGCCTCTGAGTAATTATTTTATAAGCGGCTGTGGGACATCAGGGCCGGGCGGGACCAGAGAAACTTATAGCTACAGAGAAGGACAAGGGATAAATCCTTTTTTCCTAAAGTATCAAGGTTTTACAAAAATGTATGAAAATAAAATCTGGAGAATAGATAGAAACATGCTATACCACTCTTACCTGTATTTAGTACAAGGACATGTGGACAGCCAAACCACGCCTATTATTCCCAGATGGGACCCAGCATCAACATCTCCAAAAGCACAGGAAGTGAGTTAGCCAAACCCTTAACCTCAGGGGCTGAGGTCCAAACACAAGTACCTACATGACAGGCACTCACCAATGTAGATCTGGCGGTCAAACCGGCCAGGCCGTGTTAGGGCTGGGTCAAGGATATCAGGGCGATTGGTGCCAGCTAGCACTACCACATTAGTGGCAGAGTTGAACCCTAAACACAAGAAATGCTGGTTAATCTGAGGAAGGCCCAGGCAATACCAGAATCTGTATGACCATTCCAAGTCAGGCACCATGCTGGCTCTACTTCCCTGCTGCTTGCCCTACATCCTTCTGTAAGTGCCAAGAAACGGGCATGAGGCCCTGCCCAGCTGCCCCAGGGGCCCAGGCTTGCCCCATTCTAGGAAAGACAATACACAAAGACTTGATCTTTGGCTCTAAGCTCTCACTATTCTGCTGTGAGTAAGGTACAGTTCTGCTGGTGGGAAAGCAGACCTTTTCTCAGCCAACAGGGAACTGTGGTGGTATTTTAAATAAAGTTGCCTGGGGGTCAGAGCTATTAGAGCCATAGCAAGTGCGTGGCAGTGGTGGTGTACGCCTTTAAGGACCTGGAGGGCGGTACATACAGGCAGTGACGAGGCAGTCACATGATTGGGTTTACAACCAATCAGAAGCCAGAACAGAGAGATATAGAGACAGACACACAGGAAGGAGGGCTCTCTTTCGGAGAGCTCTCTGGGCTGAGGAGGATCCCTGAATCAGGAAGGGTGAGGCTCTTGGCTCTGACCTCTTGGCTTTCTTCTCTGAATCGGCTCTGTGTTCTTGTCTGATAAAACCGTTGGCTACATCTACACCGAATTACATCTACAGGGAACTCTATAATTTGAGACAAGGATAAGAGATAAAGCCTGGAACATGGGGAGTCTCTTTGTATTTCTGACTCCTGCTACCCTGACACCATCTTGTCAGGGCTCACTGCCTCCTTCCACCCAAGTCCTTGTGGGCTTGAAGGATTCATCAAGTACAGCCAGGTGATGGCAAGCAAGAACACCCATCCAAGGCGAGCCCATGAGGATGGCGATGAGGTGTGCACATGCGTTTCCTCTCCTTTATCGTCTCCACTCAGTTCCCGCCAGGGGAAAGCATAGTAACAACCTACTTCAGTCACCTTTGGGTACTAAAGATTTAGGACAGGATTCCAGAACAACTTTGGTATGCAGAGAAGTGCATATAACTGGCTTGGCTGTCTTAAGGACCACATGAGTGGTTGCCACCTTCTCTGACAATGGTTCCTGGTGCCCAAACTACTAGTGCAAACAATGTTATTTATGCACAATACCTGCCTTCCTCCCAGAAGTCTGGAATCTTGGTACATGCTAAGCAGAAGGCACCTGGCCAACACCCAGTGAGAACACCAGGGACCAAGGCAATTCCTACATGCCATCACAGTGTGTTCCTGGAGAAGATTCTAGAAGCTGCATCTGGTTAATGGACCATTCCCTATGCCTTCCCTTTTCGCTGATTTTGCTGTGTGTCCTTCCTTTGTGTTGGATCATACCTGAGTACAGCTGATTCTGTGACTCCCTGGTAAAATACCAAACCCAGAGAGGACTTAGGGACCTCAACATGACACTAAAGCCAAAATGAAGACAAAATCTGCCAAAGATCCGGTGGAAGCTTTACCAAACTCAAAAGTGGGATGACTGCAAGTATTCCATGGAGGTACACCCTGGCTAGAATCCCTCTGAGATCAGCAGAACAAGGCTCAGAGCCAAAGGTGTGTGGCTGAGTCCCCTCTATCCTATGTGAACCAACAGGGACACTCATGCTCATATACATGTTTACCTCCCAAGAGAAGCAGGTGCCCTCATCCCAGCTAATTCCCCCCGCCTGGCAGGTAGGAAACAAATCTCCCATTGTGCAGTGAGGAGCTCTATGTGGATCAAACACTGATTTCTTATTTATGTTTGCTTGAGAACATTCTTTTTTAAAATCAGAATGCATCAGCCAGACACAGTGGGCACATGCCTGTAATCCCAGCCCTCGGGAGATGGAGGCAGGAAGAATCAGACCTCTAAGTCAGGTTAAATAGAGAGAAGAATGAATATATATTCCTGTGGAAACTGAGTCCCTGCAGACCTGCTACAGTGTCCACTCACCATCCATCTCCACGAGCATCTGGTTTAAAGTGTTCTCCTGCTCACTCTGGCCTCCCAGGTGACCCCGGCCTCGCTTCCTGCCAATAGCATCAATCTCATCAATGAATAAAATACAAGGAGCATTTTTTCGGGCCATCGCAAACATGTCACGAACCTGGAAAAGGAATGCAGACTTTTTTGTTGTTTCCATTCCTATCACACAGGAGAACAGTTCACCCTTAGCCCTCCCTTTGATACATCAGGACCTCCCTGATGGGGTGCACTCAGTGCTTGTCCCACACAAAGCCTACAGCTACACAAAATGGCCAATCCTGGACAAGAAGGTGTTGGCACCTCCTATAGCTGGTTACCCATCCACCTACCCGTGCCGGCCCAACACCAACAAACATTTCCAGGAACTCCGACCCATTCACAGTGATGAAGGGCACATTGGCCTCCCCAGCAGTTGCTTTTGCAAGAAGTGTTTTGCCAGTTCCAGGTGGGCCAGTGAGCATTGCTCCCTGCAAGAGAAAAGGGACACCTAGCTCTCCAGAAGGACAGACAGAATACTGGGAACAAGCCTGGTTTCCTAATACATAGAGGCAACTTCTAGGGCTAAAAAGAACCTTAAATCTACCACTTTTAGAGCCTAGGGTTTTTAGAAAATCTTCTTTCCTTAAAAAATTAATACACACCGAGCGCATGCCTTTAATCCCAGCACTTGGGAGACAGAGGCAGATGGATCTCTGTGAGTTCGAGCCAGCCTGGTCTACAGAGAGAGATCCAGGACAAGCACCAAAACTATACACAGAAACCCTGTCTCAAAAAACCAAAATAAATAAATAAGTAAGTAGATAAATAAGTAAATAAGTAAATAAATAAATAAATAAATAAGTAGATAAATAAAGAAATAAATAGAAAACTCCCAGATCCAGACCCTCACTTGGCGAAGTTGTCTTCTGCAGGAATAAGTCTAGCAGTCTACTGGTTCAAAGAACCAGAGTGCTTTTCTGTTTTTCTTTTCTTTTTGGTTTTTCAAGACAGAGTTTCTCTGTGCAGCCCAGGCTGTCCTGGAACTCACTCTGTAGACCAGGCTGTCCTCAAATTCACAGAGATCTGCCTGCCTCTACCTCCCAAGTGATGGGAATAAAGACATGTGCCACCATCTTCTGGCTCAGAATGCTTTCCTTAATGATTATTGCCAAATTGCTCTCTAAAACAGCAGTACCATTTTGCACAGCTTCCCAGGAGTGAAACACAATTGCCTGTTGAAATCTAGCCAGGAAGCCTGTCCAGCTTCACAGCTGGTTTGAAGGGTGGACACAACTCATTTTGGGGGGCTCCATCAGTTGTTCAGGCCAGGCACCTAGGACCTGAGTGTGAATCTCCAGAATCCATGTAAAGCCCGGCACAATAGCAGTGCTCCTACATAAGACAGCAGCCAGAGACAGGAGAATCCCCAGAACTGTGGCCTGGCATACACAGCAACAAACAGGAAGACATCGTGTCTCAAACAAACACGGTGGAAAGTGAGCTTGTCCTTTGACCTTCACACACGTGCTAGGCACGCTGTGTTGCTTAGTTTGGTCAACTTGACACAAAAGAATCTTCAGGAAAGAGGGATCCTCAATTGCGAAAATGTTCCCATTAAAGCGGCCTGTAGACAAGAGTGTGGGGTGTTTCCCCGATTGAGGATTGGTGTGGAAGGGTCTAGCCCACTGTGGGTGATGCTACCTCTGAGCAAATGATCCTGGGTTATATAAAGAAGCAAGCTGAGAATCAGGCAGTGGTGGCACATACCTTTAATCCCAGTACACAGGAGACAAAGGCAGGCAGATCTCTGTGAGTTCGAGGCTAGCCTGGTCTACAAAGTGAGTTCCAGGACAGCCAGTGCTATTACACAGAGAACCTTGTCTCAAAATCCCAGAAAAACAAAAACAAAACAAACAAACAAAAAAGAAGAAGCAAGCTGAGTAAGCCGTGGGGAGCAAACCAGTAAGCAGCATTCCTCCGTGGCTTCTGCCTCCAAGTACCTGCCCTGCTTGAGCTCTGCCCTGGCATCCTTCACTAACGATTACTTGGAGTCCAAGAAGAAACAAATCTCTTACAGGCTGCTTTAGGTCATGGTGTTCATCACAGCAATAGAAACTAAACTAAGACACACGTACATGCCTACACTCACACATATGAGCACACACTTGGAGGAAAAGAAACCAAGATCACCACCAATTCACATCTGTATAACACCTTCATTTTCATTTTTATGAACTATTATGACTGAAAATTAAAAGGACTTCTTAAAAAAGTGATTACATTTATTTAGTTGTGTTTGGGGGGTTGCCACGCCATGGTATATCTGAGGAAGTCAGAGAAGAGCTTGCGAGAGTCAGTTCTCTCCTTCCACCATGCAAAAGGGCACGTGGGCCCAGGAATTAGAATCTGGGCTGTCTGTGCACGCTTCGCATATACTAAATCTGGAACAATACAGAGAAGATTAGCATGGCCCCTTCGCAAGTATGGCACGCAAATTCATGAAGCGTTCCATATTTAAAAAAAAAAAAGAATTTGGGCTGTCTCCAGGTGGTGGTGGATCATACCTTCAAACCCAGCACCTGGAGGCAGAGGTACATGGATATCTGAGAGTTCGAGGCCAATGTGGTCTAGGGAGCTAGTTCCAGGCCAGCCAGGATTACAGAGAGAAACCCTGTCTCTGCTGGGGGGGACAGGGGACCTCAGGCTGTCAGGTTTGAAGGCAAAGCTCCTTTACCACCACAGCTAGCTTACTGTTCTTGAATGTGCATGTGTGCCCACACTCACCACTGCACACATGCGGAGGTCAGAGGACAACCCACAGAAGGTTGTTCTCTCTTCCTATTATGTGGATCTCGGGATCAAACCCGGCTCATCATGCTTGGTGGTAAATGCTTTTACCAGCAGAGCCATCTCACTGGCCCCTTGAAAAAGATCAAGACCCTGGGCATGGTGGCGCACGCCTTTAACGCCAGCACTGGGGAGGCAGAGGCAGGAGATCTCTGTGAGGAAAGCAGCCTGGTCTACACAGTGTCTCAGGCCATCCAAGGCTACAGAGAGACCCTGTCCCAACAACAGAGCTTGTATGTAGAGTTCAGAGTGCTGGGTTACTGTCAGGTCATTGTTGATGAAATCGTAACATTAAAAACAGACAAAAAGCAAACGTGGGCTTTTTTGAGAGAGTGTCTTTAGTCGACAGCACAGGCTGGCCGTGGACTCACGACCCAGCTCTGAACTCTCACGAGTTCTCCAACTTTGACCAACCCAGGGCCAGAACTATAGGCATAAGCCATCTCACCAATCAAACAGGAAGACTTTAATGTTCTACACTGCAGGCACAATTTCCATCCTCTACTGTGGTTCACAGAAATACAAACGTAAGGAAGAAAACACTGTTAAATATTTATCTCCTCGAAATAACAGCAATCTGTACTTCAACTTGCAGCCTGGATTGTATCACTGTTTCCTAAAATCACTACCTTTGGAATTTTGGCTCCTAAGTCCTGATATTGCTTTGGGTTCTTCAGGAAATTCACAAACTCCATAATTTCCAATTTGGCCTCTTCGCAGCCAGCCACATCTGCGAATCGCACTTCAATGTTGTTTTTTAAGATCTTGGCTGTTGTCTCACCAACACTGAAGAGGCCTCCTCCTCGGCCACCACGACCAGTCCCCATTGGACCCCTCCTCATAGTATAGAGGAGGATGCTAACCAGGGCCAGGGTGGGTACCAGGCTCCGGAGAAGAGAGCTGCAAAAACCCAAGAACACCACTTGTTACATTCACTTAAGAGAAAGGTCGGAAGTCCCACTGTTACCCAGAAAGAGCAAGCCAGTCTAAGATTTTCATTGTACAAAAGGGGCAGTTTCTAAAAGGTCCTAACAGCACTGCTTCTGCCCTGACCCACAGCAGAGGCTTAGCCTTTGACCAAACAGGTCTGACAGACCCTTAGCCATATGCTTTCCTCAGAAGACTCTGGTTCAGCAAAGGTATCAATACCTAATACGTTTATTTTTATTTTTCCTATATACTTTCCTATACACTTTTTAAAGGCCGCCTGGCATTCTCTTTGCAATGAACAGACATAAGCCAGTGCCACGGTGTATACCTGGGAGGCTTAAACCCAGGCGTTGAGACTTAGATGGCTGAGTGAGGCCATTTCAAAACAAAAAATTTTAAAAATAAAAATAGATCAAAATACTCTTTAAGTATTGATACTGTAAATATTAGCAGATGCCTATGTTTTAAAAAATAAGCACACCCCAAAATAGGTTAAACACTGAATTTTTGTTTTGTGTTCAGAATCAGATGCCCTACACTGGAGTTCCACATCCCTAGAACTCACCCATCACTCTCGGTAGTATAGACTACTGCAGCCTGGTTGGTGGGCTCAATCCCCAGCTCCCACTGAGCAGACTCGAGGTTCCGCTCAAAGGTGTCAACACTACCAATGTTAAACCACACGAACTTCTGCAGAGACCAAGAGGAAGTTTAGGCTCACCATTGTGTCCCACGGGGATTGCTGACACACTCATCCACATTTGTGTTCTCCCAGAAAAGCCTCTTTCCCCTAGCTCTGACAGACAGATAGGGACAAATCCCTTCCTGGAGCTAGTTCCAAGGGTAAGTAGGCAAACAGCAGCTCATTCAGTTCTGGTACACGAAACTTCAAGGTTTTAAGTTCTAGACAAAATATAAAATGCTGCCACAATAGCCGAAGTCTCCCTTTGTCTTTTTCTACCTTTCCTCAGAAATTTTGGCAAGTGGTTCTTACATATTACTTGATAAAAATTAATTATAGTAGTCTTAAAGGCTTCCTGCACTAGCCATTATCTATTTAAGACAATGAGATAAACCATAATTATCAAGATAAATTTTTAAATTATTTTTATTTTTTTGTGGCCAGACAGGAGTGGTGCAGACCTTTAATTGGGAGGCAGGAGCAGGTGGATCTCTGTGAGTTTAAGGCCAGTCTGGTCCACAGAGTGAGTTCCAGGACTGCCAGAGCTACCCAGAGAAACCCTGTCTCAAAAAAAACAAAACAACAAAAAAATTATTTTTTGTGCATGGGCATTTGCCTGCATAATGTCTATGCACTCTATGCATGCCTGTTCCCGGTGCAGGCTGCATGATGTCTGTTCACTCTATGCATGCCTGTTCCCTGTGCAGGCTGCATGATGTCTGTTCACTCTACGCATGCCTCTTCCCTGTGCACTCTATGCATGCCTCTTCCCTGTGCACTCTATGCATGCCTGTTCCCTGTGCAGGCCGGAAGAAAGCAGCAGATTCCTGGAACTGAAGTAATGAATGCTTCAGAGCCACTGAATGGGTGCTTGACATCAAACCCGGGTCCTCTGGAAGTACAGCCAGTGCTTGTTTAACCACTGAGCCATCTCTCTAGCCCAAACCATCACAAACAACATGGACCGATGGACAACTGGGAAGGTACTTTACTGAACAGTTTACTGAACAGCTTACAGTTTTTAAAAATAACCTATCCTGGGGCTGGAGATGGCTCAGCAGGAAGAGCAGTACTGCTCTTGCAGAGGACCCCGTCAGGAGGTTCACAACTCCAATTCCAAGGGGATGGAATACCTCTGTCCTGAGCAGCCACCTGCACTCACATGCACATACCACACAGACACACAGACACACAGACACATATTTAAAAATAACAAAAATCAACTCTTTAAAAAAGTGATCTGGCCGGGCGGTGGTGGCGCACGCCTTTAATCCCAGCACTCGGGAGGCAGAGGCAGGTGGATCTCTGTGAGTTCGAGGCCAGCCTGGTCTACAGAGCGAGATCCAGGAAAAGGCGCAAAGCTACACAGAGAAACCCTGTCTCAAAAAAAAACCAAAAAAAAAAAAAAAAAGTGATCTGGTGTGGTGGCGCACGCCTTTAATCCCAGCACTCGGGAGACAGAGGCAGGCAGATCTCTGTGAGTTTGAGGCCAGCCAGGTCTACATAATGAGTTCCAGGATATCCAGAGCTACAGAGTGAGGCTGTCTCAAACAACAAACAAAAGGTATCCAGGACACTTGGCCTCAAATCGGCCCCTAACCTCGGATGTCGTCCCAGGAACAGGAATAACTCGAACAAACTGCTTGTTCACAACCTCCAGCCGCTCCACCTTGGAAAAAGAGAAAAGCAGTCGTAACAGCCAAGGCAGTAAGGACTTTCAGGCCAACCATAAGCAGTGTAGTCACAGGCACACCTACATCCTAAAGACCACATATCCTCCCTACCATCCACAGCCCAGTCTAAGTAAGTTTTAGTTTCTTGTTCCCTTGGATCTGTAAGCTTGGGGCATGAATCTACCTCATTTCAATAAAGAAATTATTAAATTTAGGAAGCCTCTCCAATTTAGAACATCTGAGCTCCATACTCGACTACTTGAAACCCTAAATGACTACAACAGATTAAAACCTGTTAGTATATGACGTGTATGAACTTGGATGCACATGCCACCATATGTGGACAGGAGAGGACAACTCCAACTTCAGGGGCCAGCCCTCATCTCCAACCTTTTCTAGACAGTGTCTCTGTTTTCCCATTGCATAGTCCAGGCTACCCAGCCCACAAGCTTCCAGGGATTCTCCTCTCTCCATTTCCCATCTCCCAGTAGGTGCATAAGGATCTCAGACATCCTTGCTAGGCACCCAGCTTTCATGTGGGTTCTGGGGATTGAAACTAAAATCCTCATGCTTGCTCTGAAAGTGTCTACACCCACAAGCCATCTCTCATACACAATACAGTAAAATCTTGAGTATAAACCTGATTCAGAAACATTTTGCCCACCACAAAAAAACAAACAAACAAAAACAATGTCAGTAAGACTAAAAGCAGTCCCAGAGGCTCATGAGCTACCAGGAGCTGTACAACAGACTGATATGCCTCTGAGAAAGAGAAAAAGAGAAAAAAGAAAAGAAAATAGACACACCTATAGCCCAGGACTTGAGAAGCAGGAGCACTGCTGCACGTTCAAGGCCAGACTGGGCTGCAGAGGGCAACCTTGCCTCAAAAACAACCAGAAAGGAAACCACAACTTGATACAATCCACTTTGTAACTATGACAACACAGTATTGTTCCTCTTGCTCAATTTGTTTTTATTTATGTGTACATGTCTGTGTGTCTACTACATATGTACAGGTGCCCATATAGGCCAGAAGAAGACATCAGACACCCCAGGGGTAGAGTTCCAGGCTGTTGTGAGCTGCCTGATATGGATATTCTGGAAGAGAATCAAGTGCTCTTAACTGCTGAGCCATCTTTTCAGCCCATCATCAAACAATTTTGAACCACTACAAAATAAATGACTAATGTAAACTTGCTCTTTGATAAGGATCCTCCCGAACACAGTAAACAGCAGGTTATCTGCCTGAGTTCGGGACACTCTGGAACCTGCCTGCAGGTTCTATTCTGCACTCAGCATACCTGTCTCTCTCTCCTCAGCAAGCCCACAGACAGCAGGTCCATAGGCAGGGAAGGGCTGTAGCAGCTCTGTCTCCCACTACTGTTAGTGGAGCTACCAAGCAACTCTCACAAGACAGATCTCACAAGCCTAGGGCTGGCCAGCAGGGGCCAGGGGTACAGCGAAGAGAAAAAAAAGTTCTCAATCAGACAAGAGACTGAAATTCAAAGAGTAATGGATAGAGCCGAATTTTAAAAGACAAGCTCATGTTTTATCTTTTGATAATGCCAGGACATGGTGTTAAGGCACTTTCTACCCAACCAGAAAGAAAGCAGGACTGACTTTGTTCTGTTCTGCTTGAGCTGTTCCTGTCCCCAGGTGGGCTGCTCAGAACTCCATCACACAGCAGCCTGACTCTCAGCCCCTCCCAGAGCTCACAGCTCCTTCAGGGTATTGTAAACCTCCTGCATAGCACCCTCTTTCCCAAGAAGACAGTCTATAAATCTCCTCACCAGACCTCTGGCTAGGTAATACTGTACAAAGTGCTTCCAGGTGATCTCTTTTCCAGGATTTCGGAAATAGAAATATAAAAATCCTGCAGCCACGCCTGCCCCCAAAACAGCCAGACTCCGGAAATCCTTGTCATCCCAAGGAAACTCTCCCTATGGAAGGGAAGAAAAGAAAACGCGTTTTCTAGTTAAATAACAAATAAGGTGGTTTCATTTTTTGCTTAAATTTTTTTTCTCTTTAATTTTTATTTACATGTATGTGTGTGTATCCAGGAAAGGGGGTGCCCATGGCCTAAAGAGGGAGTTTCCATGGAACTGGAGCTACAAGCAGATGTAAGCCAAACTTGTATCCTCTGAACAGCATGAAAATGACAATTTCTCTATGAAAATGACAATTTTCTCTTTTCACTATGTATAGCCCTGGTTGGCCTGGAACTTACTATGTAGGCCAGTCTAGCCTCAATGTCACAGAGCTCTGCCTGTCTCTGCCTCTGGAGTATTAGGTGTGAGCATTCAGGAATCTGTACTGGCCTGCCCTTAGGGTCCTGACAGAACACCTCCTCAGCTGCAGCCACTAAGAGCACCCACTGTGTGCATTCACTAACTTTCCTTATAAAAGGTGGCCCTGCCCACCTCCTGTCTCTTCTCTTCCTTTTCCTTCGCTCTGGTCCCCAGGAACGGGTCTCTGCCCCCTTCTCTCCCCTCCCCACAATAAACCTCCCATGTGGGCCTGTGGAATGGCTGACCCCTTCCCGTCGTTTTTTAAAATACATTAGGATTAAAGGCATGTGCCACCATGCCCTGAAGAAGGTTCTCTCTTATCTTGGACTCTAAGTCTTGACACATTTTAATAAATTTCTTAACTCTGAACTGTCTAGGTCCCTCAAAAACCCATCCTGGAAATCAACACCAACAGTGAAAGCATTAAAGAGGTGGGACCTTTGGGAAATGACTAAGTCATATGCGGTCCATCTTCACGTATGGAATTTGTATGCTAACATTAAAGGTCTTGAAGGATGGATTCTGTTCCTTCTTGTCATATAAGGATACACTATTGCTCCTCTATGAACAAAGCAGTATATAAGACACCATGAATGGAGCCTTGAAAACAGAGACCAAAGCCTCTACAACCTGGACACACCAGCACTCTGATCATGCATTTTCCAGCCTCTTCAACTGTGAATAAATACACGCTATTTACAAATTCAACAGTCTAAGGGGCACAGCGGTGCACATCTGTAATTTCAGCACTCAGAAGCAGAGACAGGAGGTTCACCACAAGCCTAGGCTACACAGTTGAGTTCCAGGCCAGCCAACTTTACATAGGAGACCATGTCTCAAAAGAGCCAAAACAAATAAGAAATCAAACTATCCAGCAATTTTGTCTAAGAGCAGGAACAAAATAAGACAAAGACCCTACAAAGCCCGCATTCTGTAGCAACCACACTCTCTGGAGAAGTGACACATGGCTGCTTCTGGTCTTTAGATGCACACAAACCTTCTGCATCCGTCTCCACCAGGCAAAGTCATCTCGATTCCCTCCTCTCTTGCCTCCATCTCCTCCAGGCCCAGCGTTCTTTGGTTCTACAGTTTATGAGATTTAAAAAAAAGAAAGAAAAGTCTTCTATTACAACAGAAAAAGGAGGATGTATCATTTTCCAGAGAAAGAGAATTCAGAGAACAGAGAACGAGGCAGAGAACTGGTTCAGTCCTGTGCTTGCTGTGCAGACACAGGGATCTGAGGTCAGGTCTCCAGCACCCATGTTCAAAGCCAGCCGCAGTGGCATGCGCTCCTGTAGACTCAGTGCTACAGCAGCAGAGACAAGAGGATCCCTGAGGGTCTGGTAAAGCAAGTCTAGCCCACCCAGCAAGTTCCAGGTTCAGAAAGAGACCTCGCTTCAAAAAACAAGGCGGAGAGCTGGTGAGATGGTTCATCGGGCAAAGCTATTTGCCACCAAGCATGACAGCCTGAGTTCCACCCCTGGTTTCAGGGATGGAAGGAAAGAACCAAGTCTCACAAGTTGTCCTCTGACCTCCACATGAGCTCAGTGGTACACACTGATAGATTCACAACATGCCCCCAGGTTGGGCATGCCCGGCGGACCTAGACACTTCCGCCTAGCCATTACCGGGTCAAAACGTCTCGTGTGACCAGGACCCCATGGCTTTGCATGGTTGCATAAAGCGCGCAGCGCAACCATGTGATCTATGCGCATGTGTGGAGTAGCCACATGAGCCTGTGTACGCAGGTGCGGCCCAGCCTTTATAAGCTGGTGCCATATTCCCGGCTTCTCTCCTCATGCACGTGTCTTTCCCACAGGCCTGTCACGTCTGTCTCTCTCTCTCTCTCTCTCTCTTATCTTAATAAAACTCTTGTTAGTGGATTCTGTCGTGTTTCGTGACATTTCCTCGCAGGGTAAGAGTGCCGCCAAGTAACTAACACACATGCGTGCTTACACACGTACATATGTGTACACACACACACACACACACACACACACACACACACACACACGCTCTCTCTCAGATGAACAAATGTAGTTTAAAAAATTAAAAATAAAGTGGAGAGTGATTAAGGAAGATACCCAATATCCACCTCTAGCCTACAAACACATGCACATATGATTTGTCATGTACATACAAATAGGCACACTAAAAAAAAAAAAAAAAGCAGCTTCAGATACATATAAAAATCACTTAAATTTTAAATTTTACTTAGTGTGCTTCAGACATTACCTGTTTGTTTTTATTTTTTTGAGACAGGGCACCATTATACAGCCCAGGCTAACTCGGAACTTGCAATCCTCCTGCCTCAGCTTCCTATGATTACAGATATGTACCACAATACCAGGCAGGCCTAAATTTTAACAGCAATCTTTCTTTTACTCTGTGTAAGAGACCAGCCTTAGTATTATACATCCCAGGGGCTCAGGAGAGAGAACTACTAACGGCGAGGACTATTTTCGGGAAATAGAATCTCAGCACACCGAGCTCTATAGTCCACTTGCTTTAATTCCTCTGGCATAACATCCTATATACACAGCTTCAGTTCTGTTCTCGTGTCTAGCTCCTTTCTTGCCTGATTTCTCTCTACTTATCTATTGCTCCCTCTAAGTTCTATCTTAATTCTCTCATCTTAATTTTGCCTCATCTAGGTCCTTTTCAGCTTGTTCTTACCCAGCTAGTACTTCCCCATCTGGCTCATCCTCATCTTCCATCTCATTCCTCTAGTACTCTCTTCTAGCCCTTCAATCTAGTTCTTCCCCATCTCAGTTTGTTCCTCTCAAGTTCTTACCCATCTAGTTCTTCCATTCTCTTTTCTCTTCTCCGTGCTGTTCTCTCTTTGCCTACAGAAAATACCTGCCTTTTCTTTCCCTGGGCACGTGGTTCCCTGCCTCCTCAGGAATGTTCTTTTATCTCTCACCTTGATATGTAAAAACCTCTTTTGTTTTCAAAGTGCTCTGGAGAACCACTAGGCCTCCTCAAGGCCAGGGAATGGTCTGAGCTTCATTAGCACAGGAAACAAAGCTAGGCGTTGCCCACCAGCTTGTCTCCTAAACTCTGTAGGACAGTTAGTAACTTAGTAGGTTCAGCAGGTCTGGGGAGCTGAACTGTTTACCAATTGGTCTGGGCACACAAGGATTTCATAGCAGAAGACAGCTGAAATATTAAAGGCTGGGTAGCACCAAATATTCATAATAAACGGCTTTGCCTTTTGACAGACCTTTGGCCAGTCAAAGTTCAGCTTTAATACACAGCTGAATCTCTATGATATATTCCTGCGGCCCGCAAGATTTTTCTTTTCTTTTCTTTGTTTTTTAAGCTAAAAATAGCTGGGAGGAAAAAAAGAAGCAGGCTGACACAGGCCCATCCCTTCTCGAGAGACTCAAGACGCATGTCGCCTGCAATCAAGAACAGTGTATCAGTATGCAGAAAAACCTGCCATGTGCATTTTTTTTCTTCTTTTTGAGTCAGGGTCTCACTATGCAGCTCTGGTTGTCTTGGAACTTGTTATATAGACCAGGTTGGCCTCGAACTCACAGAGATCTGCCTGCCTCTGCCTCCTGAGTGCTGGGATTAAAGGCGTGCGCCACTATGTCCAGCCCATGTGTACACTTTTGACTTATGGACAATAATGAAGTAGAGTCTCCTGAGCCTCTTTCTGCAATATTCACACAAGTTCTAGGTCAGAACCAGTCCTTCTCTACATATCACCCCTCCAACAACCCTAAAACAGTATCAGACAAGTCCAGAAAAGGCTGCAGTGACACCAGAAATGGCAACATGAATGAATGATTGTGGTGATATTTGGTTTGTGCTCTAATAAATAAAGCTTGCCTGAAGATCAGAGGGCAGAGCTAGCCACTAGTTAACCATAGAGGCTAGGAAGTGGTGGCACACCTTTAATCCCAGCACTTGGGATCTCCTGCCTTTGATTCCAGTACTCGGGAGTAACACACCTTTTATCCCAGCACTAGGGAGGTGAAGACAGGAAGTGATATGGCTGGGCAGAGAGAGGAATATAAGGCAGGAGGAGACAGGAGCTCAGCCCCCCCTTCAGGCTGAGGATTCGGGAAAGGTAAGGAGTCTCTCTAGTGGCCATCTCCTTTACTTCTCTGATCTTTCAGCATTTACCCCATATCTGGCTCCGGGTTTTTATTATTAAATCAATTAGGGCCGGGTGGTAGTGGCACACGCCTTTAATCTCAACACTCAGGAGTCGGAGGCAGGTGGATCTCTGTGAGTTCAAGGCCAGCATGGGCTACAGAGTGAGTTCCAGGACAGGATCCAAAGCTACACAGAGAAACCCTGTCTTGAAAAACCAAAAAAAGAAAAGAAAAAAGATAAACCAGTAGCAAGATGTACCACCATACCTCCCAATTAGCTTGCATGTGTTTCATTCTTTTTTTTTTTTTTTTTTAATTTATTTATTTATTATGAATACAGCATGTACGACTGCAGGCCAGAAGAGGGCACCAGATCTCATTACAGATGGTTGTGAGCCACCATGTGGTTGCTGGGAATTGAACTCAGGACCTCTGGAAGAGCAGTCAGTGCTCTTAACCACTAAGCCATCTCTCCAGCCCTTGTATGTGTTTCTTAGTATTTAGTGCTCCTAGGTACCTAAGCAGGTGGAACACACCCGTTAAACCCATCTGAATCACCAAACTGTGATGCATAGAGTCAAAAATGACTCATAGAGGCTGGAGAGCTCAGTGGTTAAGGGCACTGGATACTTAGACAGGACCCAGGTTTGATTCCTAGCTCCCACTTGGCAGCTCACAACTGTCTGTAGCTCCAGTTCCAGGGGATCTTTTTGGCCTCTCTGGGCACCAGGCATGCATGTGGTACACAAACACACATGCAGGCAAAACACTCAAGCATTTAAAATAAAAAGAAAAAATAAACTAAAATCATCAAACGTAGAACTTGACAGTCTGACTTATCAAACTGGCCTTCTTACCTGTTTTTGGAGTTACTGAATTTCCTGGGTCTGTACTTCTTCCATTCTTCTTATTCTTAAAATATTTCTCAAACCCTTAGGGACAAAAGGGAGAGGTTGTGGTATTTTTAAAAGGAAAACACACACACACACTCAGAAAAGCAGAATACAGTCAAATCTGGCTGACAAAGTAAGAAAGCTAGCTCTCCTTCCTGCCTTTCTTCTTCCTGATCAAACAACATGCAGCCCCAGGTCCACACAGACATATGGACTAAGGAATATTTCTTCTACTCTCTGGAGATAGAGGTCTCCAAACACTTCTATGAATACAGTCCCTTTGCTCAGAACACTTACCACAGGTCCATGGCTTACTCTGAAGGGCTCCAATAGACCACTGTGCTCCAGGTAACTAGTCTACCTGTTTTACTTTCCAAACCTGAGGCTGGATCCTCAGAATCAACGACGCAGAAGCACACGTGAATTCCCACGCCTCCCAAAAGCTTCACCCAGCAACACCCTTCTGAGACGTTTCACTTTTGCCAGTGTCAGTGATGTGCCAAAGCGACAAAGGCATGCAGGTGCTACCGTGAGGCTCAGTGGGGAGACTACACAGGGAAGAAAGGGAGCATGCTAGCTGTCATGTCCCCTTGCCACCTGCTCAGTCACTGTGGGAGACACCCTGAGCAAGCCACACTAGTCCCACAAACTTCATGCGGCTAGGGAAGGCAGACAGTGAAAGAGGTACCATACCTTTGGGGGGTTTTGAACACAGCCTTGGGGGGAATGAAGTCAGTCTTCCCTGCAGAGACTGCTGCTGCAAGCGTATCCCCTGATGACACTGAAAAGAGAGACGATTAGGCTGTTCCTGCAATGCGACACAGCATCCTCTCAAAGCGGCCAGGTCAGGACGCAAGGGACAGAATTCGGACTGAGGTGTGGGCTTATTGTTTGCCCACTTAGATATTCAAACAGAATAAATATGAACTAAATTCACTGTAAAAACTCACAAAGGATTTTTTATATTTATAATATCCAGCCGGGCAGTGGTAGTACACGCCTTTAATCCCAGCACTCAGGAGTCAGAGGCAGGCGGATCTGAGTTTGAGGGCAGCCAGAGCTAAAGAGAAACCCTGTCCCGAAAACAGGTGCTTTCTTTAGTAAGTTGACTTGGTCATGGTGTTTTATTGCAGAATAGAAATCTACCTAAGACAGAAGTTGGTGCCGGGAAGTGGGCTATTGCTGTGACAGACCTGACTGTGTGGTTGTGTCCTTTGTTTTGTTTTTTGTCGCTGCGGCTGAGGGACATGGAAGACTTTGGTACTGTGGACTAGAAAGTGGTTGAATGTTTCCAGCAGAGCTTAATGGGCCTCCTAGTAGGAGTCTGGAATACAGTGGGGCCGAAAGCCCTGTGGAGGCCTAGCTCAAGAGGCTTCTGAGGGAAGGGAGGATTTAACAGCGCTGGACTCGAGGCATGCCTGGGATACTTGGTCAAGAATGTGGCTACCTTCATCTCAATTAGAAAGTAATGGACTATTTTCTTTGGTGGAGGAGTTTTCAAGACAGCCTAATACTGATTTTGCCAGATGGTTATTAAAAATCACCCTTACACAAGTCTACAATGAAAGAAAATAAGTAGTATCGAGGACTATGGGGTCCAGCCCCTCGATAGTCCCCTCCCAGGGTCCGGGAAGAATCTACAACCAGCTGATAATTAATCTTTGATGAAAAGAAAAGAATCTATGTACACGAAACTTAGTCCATACACTTTATTCTTCTGAGTCAGTTCTCTGTACACAGCTTCTATTCTGCTCTCATGCCTAGCTCCTTTCTTGCCTGATTTCTCTCTACATTTATCTGCCGTCCCCTCTAAGTTCTATCTTAATTCTCTCATCTTAGTTCTACCTCATCTAGGTCCTTTTCATCTCATTCTCACCCGGCTCGTACTTCCCCATCTGACTCTTCCTCATCTTCCATCTCGTCCACACGTTCTCTCTGGTCAAAATCCTCTTTATCCCTCTCCATTCTCTGTCTCTCAGTTCTCCACGTTCCTCCTAAGTCTCCTAGGAATCCAGTTATAAACCCAAGCAATCGCAAGCCCCTGGTCAAGCAAGGTCACCAGGCTTGAATTCTATGGGGTCATAAAGGTATGTAAGAATTTTCCTCAGGTAGAGACTGTCAGGCTTTCTTTTACAATCCAAAATGGAAGTGGTAAAAGAGGAGGTCAACTTGGCCGGGTGCTGGTGGTGCACGCCTTTAATGCCAGCACTCGGGAGGCAGAGCCAGGCAGATCTCTGTGAGTTCGAGGCCAGCCTGGACTACCAAGTGAGTTCCAGGAAAGGCGCAAAGCTACACAGAGAAACCCTGTCTCGAAAAACCAAAAAAAAAAAAAAAAAAAAAAAAGGTCAACTGAGTGCTAATGACTGATGACTGATTAGTTTATCAAAAAGTGGATCTATGTGCTCAATCTACATTCCTAGAAGTGGTTAGGTAAGAAGTTAGGGGTCTATTAGTAAGGTTGTATAAGAAAGGAGGGCCTCACCCTAAATTGCACAAGAAATAAAGCTATCCGCCTGACCTAGGAGACAGGTGTTGTTTTGTATGGCCTTGTATGCTTGATAGGCATTTAGATAAATACACTGTTAGGAGTTCTTGGAAGCACGCAAGAAAATAATTTTAGGAACCAGCTAATACATATGTATACAAAAGCTAAAATATCACCAAGACTTCTTAAGCCATGGCTTGACCTTTGGAGAAGTCCTTGACTTTTCCAAGTAGTAGCTTTTGTGATTGTAGCTGAATTCCATTACGTTTTCCTGCGACTTGCAGCTAAGTAGGCAAAAAAGAAATACACATGCACAACTTGAAAAGAAAAAGATCACCAGGAAATGTAACGTTGGAGCCAAGGCTTGTGCTGACAGAGAGAAGGAGCTGGTGTGTGTGTGTGTGTGTGTATGTGTGTGTGTGTGTGTGTGTGTGTGTGTGTGTGTGTGTGTGTGTGTGTCCTGATCTGCACTGGAATAAAGGGAGGGCAAGACTCCAACCAGCTAAACTTCCAACTTGTGAAAGATTTCCTGATCCTAGGAAGGGAAAATACATCAAGCAAGCTGAAAATGTGATTTGAGGGGGCCAAGGCTCACCCCAAGTGCCTACATGAAGGCCAGTGAGGTCCAGAAACCCTGAGAGGCCATTCTGTGAAGCAGTGAAAGTGACGCCTGGATCGTGTTAGAGATACCAAGAGGGTAGAGATGCTACAGCCATGATACCTGCCAAGGAGAGCTGCGTACAGAGAAGGGAGCCAGCCCAAGAGAGAAAATACCTTAAGAACCAAAACTGTATCTGATGGCCTCAAGGGTTGTGTGTTTAAAGTGAGCTTTGTTGATCTAAGAATGATGAAGTTTCACTTAGAAATTCAAGCTAACTAACTGAGGATGTTCTAGACAAAATCTGTCTGACTACCTTCAGTAGCATGAGTCCCATAGTTAACAAGACTCATTAGGCCCTTCCCTTCCCAAAATAGACCATCAGCAAAGATTGCTGAGACTCACTCTCAGACAAGACAAACCACAATAAAGATAGACTGCCTGGAAGAAGCAGAGTAGCCTAGCAACATGGATGAAGCAGAGGCTGTCCAAGCTGCCTAGAAGACTCTCAGACATCTGAGATGCCTGAAGAGGCTCAGATCAACCAAGCCACTAGAAATGGACACTCTCCAACCTGCTGAACTACCTGAAATTTGTGCAGTGTGCTCCAGGTTTCTAGCTTTTGTGAGCTGTCTCTCATGCTTGGGTGGCCTTTGGTGATGCCTCTGTCTCTGAGTCATTTCTGTTCCTGTAAGAAACTCCATTTATTGGTTCACCAAGTTGGACTTCGATGCTCCCATAACTTTGGTCTGTTGTCAGTTCCCTATCTGGGGTGGGCAGATGCTCATTCATGTCTCCAAGGACAAGTGTCACACACATTTCTTTAGTCTGTGGCCAGTGCTCCCTGTCTAAGGTGAACAGACATTTATTCACCCACGGAAAATGACACAATCAACTCAAAGATCATTCAACTTACTTCTTTCACAAAGATACAGGTCCACAGCAGTTCAGTGACTGACTGTCTGTGCTATAATAACCTATAACACTCACTATATGACTGATCTTCAACAGGTTAATTCTGTTCTGGTGAGAACAGGATCTGCAACACCGAACGCAAAACAACGCTGCAACTGGACAGTGCTAGAAACAAACCTGTGAGTATTTTCCTAACCTGATTGTGACGCTATTTTCTCCAAATCCCAAGATCCGACCCTGGAGGAAGGAGGGACGCTCTTAAAACTCAAGACGCTCATAAACCTTGTGCTCAGGAAATTACAAGGTTCACAAGGCCCATCCACAAAGTTATGCAGGCAGCAAACATCTGCTGCGGAGATGAGAACCCCTGTAGCGACACTGACTGCAGGCTTTGCAGGGAGCTCCAGGAATGCATTTCCCCTGGGATGTTGCCTATGTGTGTCGCTTTTAATGATAAACTTGCTTTTGACTGACTCATTCCTGAAAGTAATTCTTCCCCAGTTGCCCCCGTAATTAATTCCAATGAACTCACTGGTTCACAAAGCTAGAGAGATGGAATCATTTTTTTTGACCTGTCATGAGTGCCCTGAGGTTAATGGACATTTGCTCATCCAAAGTTACACAACACTATGGCATATTAAGAGGTAACAACAGTCCTGGACAGCTCGGGCAGTTACAAAGAGAAACCTGTCTCGAAAAACCAAAAAAAAAAAAAAAAAGAAAGAAAAAAAAGGGAGCAACAGAAGCAAAGACGAGTTGAGGAAGAACAGCTGTATGGCCCCTGTGACGAGTGATAACACAGATTGATCTATTTAAAGATGGAGAATCAGCATGGGTAATTCCAATAGAGCTACCTTTCTCTATGAGGTATAAGACAGTGAGTCTCCTTACTGTAGTAGCAGATGCACGCTCTATGTGACGGATGGTAAAATATGTAATAAGGTTGAACTAAGAACGAAGCATCCATGGCACGAATCCTATGGTGGCCATCTTTCTCTGCTTAGTATTAAGAGCTACACCTCTTTAATGAATGAATTCCACCTCTTAAATGGGGGCCCTCCCCCCGCCCCCCAAAATAGCTGAAAGATATATTGCAAACCCTCAAGTGCTAGGATCAGCGGTAGGTAGACACTGGTGGAGTCTGAAGCAGAAATCCGGAAGCCGCTGCTCCCGACCCAGCCGCAGGCGGATGACGTCACTGCGACGTCCGGTGAAGCCCCCACCACGCCGCCTGAAACCTGTGGAGGGCGCTTCCCTGCTCACCTGCCGAGCAATGCCACCGACCCTCACGCTGCTCCAGACCGCTACGCCGCTTCCTGCGCAGCCGCCACATCGCCACAACTTGGAAAAACGCCAGGGCAGGGCCCGAGTGCCCGCCGCCCCCACCAGCCGGAGTAACATCCCCCCGCCCTCACCTCGCGCCGCCTAGGCGCGCGCACGCGCAGCAGACGGGTCATAGTGCGCCACGCCCCGGTGCGCGCGCGTGCGCAGCAGGCCACAGCATTGGCTCGGACCCTCTTTCTAGGGAGCCAATTCGCAGCCTTACTTTCTAAGATCCTGACCAGGAGTGTCGCTTTGCGCGGCCTGATGGCTGATGACCGGTGACCCGCAGGCAGCTTGACCTAGGCACCGAAGGCATTTAGACGTATTTTAAATGTGTCATTGTCAGTGACACCAATGGTTTGGGCGGGTCACCTGACTGAACTCTTAGCACCTGCTCCTTCCGTGGGTGTACGGGTTAGAGGTGTTTCCCGGTATTTCTCATCTAGCCTAGACGTGCTTCGACCTCTCGTGAACAAAGGAACTGTTTGGTACACGTCTTGCGTGATTGTTACCCCTCAGAGACCTTTGTTTAGTTTTGATTGGTTAGCTGGTTGGTATATGCATCCACGTCAGTTTTACGTCGCCTGCAGTTCTGCTGACCAGAAATGTGGGCTCGAAACTAGGGAGGCGCGTCTGGCTCCTGGCAGTGCAGAAAGAACCAGTTTCTGGACAGTGGGGCTGGACAACGCCTGTCGTGCTCCTTCGTGGGTATCTGCTGCACCCGAGTTCTTCAGGGTAACGACAACATTCTAAAACCACGGAGGCTGCTATGTCTACGTTTCAAAGGTGGAAATGCCTGAGGAAAGGCCCCTGGATGCCATTGTCACCCGTAGTGCCAAAAGGAAAGGAAGTAATTATCCTCGACATCAAATTAGAAGTGATAAGCCAATTCCAAGACAGCCAGGGCTACGTTGTCAGGCCCAAGAATTTCTTCAATGTGTCTATGCTGCCTGTGGTGACATCATTTACTTTTTGGAGTAAATGGCTTAGTCAAGACCAAATGTTGAAAAGATTTTTATGATTTGTGTCATGTTATAAAGTAGTTTATAGCCGGGCGGTGGTGGCGCACGCCTTTAATCCCAGCACTCGGGAGGCAGAAGCAGGCGGATCTCTGTGAGTTCGAGGCCAGCCTGGGCTACCAAGTGAGTTCCAGGAAAGGCGCAAAGCTACTCAGAGAAACCCTGTCTCGAAAAACCAAAAAAATAAAAATAAAAATAAAATAAAGTAGTTTATAATATCAAAAACAAAATTCTTGGGAGCTGGAGAGACGGCTCAGCAGTTAAGAACTCTAGCCGAGGACCTAGATTTGATTCCCAGCACCCACGTGACAGCTCACAAGCATCTGCAACCCCAGTTCAAATGGACCTGTTGCCCTCTTCTGACCGCTGTGGACACCAGGCATAAACACGGTGCACATACATACATGCAGGCAAAATACTCAAACACAAAGTTAAAATGTAATTTTTAAAAACTTGCCAGGTGTGGCAATGCACACCTTTAATCTCAGCTCTCAGGAGGCAGAAGCAGGTGGGTTTCTGAGTTGAGGCCAGTGTGGTCTACAGAGCAAGTTCCAGGACAGTCAGTCCTATTTAGAGAGACCCTATCTCAAAAAAAAAAAAAAAAAAAAAAAAAAAAAGCCGGCTGGGCACTGGTAGCACAGGCCTTTAATCCCAGCACTCCAGAGGCAGAGGCAGGCAGATCTCTTGTGAGTTCGAGGCCAGCCTGGTCTATAGAGTGAGTTCCAGGACAGGCTTCAAAGATACACAGATAATCCCTGTCTCAAAAAAAAAAAACAAACAAAAAACAAAAAATAAATTTAAAAAGTGCCAGAACTTAAAAATAAAATGGACAGTGTTAGCCAGGTGTGGTGCTGCAGGCTTTTTATCCCAGCACTCAGGAGGCAGAGGCAGGTGGATCACTGTGAGTTCAAGGCCAGCCTAGTCTATAAAGCAAGTTCCAGAGTTAAACATGTGTCTTCAAGGTGAAATCCAATTTATTGATACAATGTTTCCAATCATAACAGTATTCTAAATAAAATGATAGCAAGATCAAGTTAAGGCACACCATTTAATGGATGTCTATATACTATCTAGGCAAAGCCCTGTGAATATGTAGCTTTGCTTTTCAGTTTGATACAGGAATTTGAAAACAAATTTCAAGGTTTCTGGGAAAGCAATATTTTGTCCTATTTTCAGTTTCCAGGAACATGTTACCTGCCATTTTGTTTTGTTTTTATTCTCTTGTTCTTTGAGTGGAGGAGTGTGGAGGCTGGAAGTCAGCCTGTGGGAGTCAGTTCTCTCCTACCATTCTGAGTGCTGGAACTCAGGTGGTCAGCCTTGGCAGGAAGAACCCTTACCCACTGAGCCATCATACCAGCCTCGTAGACCCCTACTAATTTTCAGATGGAATCTTCCCAGGAACAAATGCTCTAGGCTTCATAATCATGCCTTATTCATGCCATTGCTTCTCAGATGTACTTATATTTGTGAGCAACTATTTTCAAGGATGAAACAGTAAAATTAAAACCAAAACATCTGACATTTCAGAACTCACGTAATTTCAACTAGTTCCATCACACCAGACATCTTATGTTTTTGTTCTCTTACCAAAGCAGCGGTGGGTGCACATTGTGCCTTGGGATGCAGTGATGGTCAGGAGTCAGCTCTCTTCCCAACACGTGGTCCCAGGGCTGGGCACCCTTCCTTCTGAACCATCCCACTGGCATTCAAACCAGATATTGATGAACTGATTTATCAAATACAATGTGAAACATCTAACTAGTTTTATGTGTCCCTCTTCTTACATTTATTTTTTTTGAAGTTTGTATTTGTTTTTTAAATTTATTTTTTAATGTATGAGTGCTCTGTCTTCATGTATACCTTCGTGCCATAAGAGGGCATCAGAGCCGGGCGGTGGTGGCGCACGCCTTTAATCCCAGCACTCGGGAGGCAGAGCCAGGCGGATCTCTGTGAGTTCAAGGCCAGCCTGGACTACCAAGTGAGTTCCAGGAAAGGCGCAAAGCTACACAGAGAAACCCTGTCTCGAAAAACCAAAAAAAAAAAAAAAAAAAAAAAAAGAGGGCATCAGATCACGTTATAGATGGTTGTGAGCCACCATTGTAGTTGCTGGGAATTGAACTCAGGACCTCTGGAAGAGCAGCCAGTGCTGCTATCTTACCAGCCCCCCCTTACATTTATTATTAAAAAATTTGTTTTTTAACCAATAAAGTTATATTACTTAGATACATTCATTTATCAGTGATCACAAACTTGGGACCTGCTCATTGATTTTTTTTTTTTCTTTCAAGACAGTGTTTCTCTGTGTAGCTTTGTGCCTTTTCTGGAACTGGCTTTGGAGACCAGGCTGGCCTCGAACTCACAAAGATCCTCCTGCCTCTGCCTCCTGAGTACTGGGATTAAAGGCATGCGCCACCACCGCCCGGCCTGCTCATTGATTTTAAGACTTTCCAAACAGGGCTCCACACTTCACTAGTATTTGTATATTTAATATGTGATTCAATGCAGTTCTTCATCCAGTGTGGCCCAGAGAAGTCAGAAGGTTGGATACCTCTATACTAAAACCTCACTCATATACGCAGATATAATCAATCACCATTTCACAATTATTATACTCCAAGTTAAGCAATAATTTAGTGGATGCTAGAATTGATGGAAGTTACAACAGGAACTGGATAGATAATTCCATAGTCTCAAAATATCTCCACATTTGATACTATTGACAAAGACATAAACAGTAATTAATGGGGAAAGCTGGCACACACCTGTGAGGGTTTGAATATGCAAAGTCCCCACAAGTTCATGTGTTAAACACTCAGTCCTCAGGTAGTGATGCTGTTTCTGAAAGTGGTGGAAACTTTAGGAACCGGAGTCTAGCAGAAGGAAGTAGGTCATTGATGGCATGCTTTTTGAAGGCATGTGGTCCTGGCTCTCTGCCATGGAATACACAGCCTCGTACACATTCTCCCACCACAGTGTTTTCCCTTATCATATGCCCAGAATCAGTGGAGTCAAGGACGTGGACTCAAGAAACCATGAGCCTAAATCTTGCCTTCTTTTAAGTTTTTTTTTTTTTTAAAAAAAAGACAGGGTTTCTCTGTGGAGTCTTGGCTGTCCTGGAAGTCACTCTGTACACCATGCTAGCCTTGAACTCAGAGATCCACCTGCTTCTGCCTCCCAAGTGGTGAGATTAAAGGTGTGTGCCACCATGCCCAGCTAAAGCTGCTCTATCAAGTATTGGCACAGCAATGAAAAAGTAACTAGTACGCCACCTTAGCCAGGTGTCTTGGCTATTGTTCTATTGCTGTGATAAAACACCATGACCAGGGCATTTAACTGGGGGCTTGCTCACAGTTTCAGAGGGTGAGTCCATGACCACCATGGCCGGGAGTGTGGAGGCAGGCAGGCAGGCCTGGTGCTGAGCAGTAGGTGAGAGCCTATATCCTGATGCCCAGGCAGGAGGCAGAGAGAAACTGGGCCTGATTAAACCGCAAAGCTCACTCCTAGTGACACATCTTCCACAACAAGGCCACATCTCCTAATCTTTCCCAAACAGTTCCACCAACTTGTCAAACATTCAAATATTTGACCTTGCAGGAGCAAAGGCAACTTGGGTTGTATTTTGTTTTGTTTGGGGTTTTTTGTTTGTTTATTTATTTATTTTTGGTTTTTTGAGACAGGGTTTCTCTGTGTAGCTTTGTGCCTTTCCTGGAACTCACTTGGTAGCCCAGGCTGGCCTCGAACTCAGAGATCTACCTGCCTCTGCCTCCCCAGTGCTGGGATTAAAGGCATTCACCAACCACCTCCTGGCATTTTTTTTGTTTTTTGAGACAGGGCTTCTCTGGTGGTTTTGGTGCCTGTCCTGGATCTTGCTCTGTAGACCAGGCTGGCCTCAAACTTAGAGATCTGCCTGGCTCTGCATCCTGAGTTGGTTTCTTGAACTCAGAGATCCACCTGCTTCTGCCTTCCAAGTGCAGGGATTAAAGACATGCACCACTACCACCTGGCCTTGTTTTTTTTTATTTTTTGAAACAGGGTTTCTGTGTGGAGCTCTGGCTGTCCTGGAACTCACTCTGTAGACCAGGCTGGCCTCAAACTCAGAGGTCCCCCTGCCTCTGCATCCTGAGTTGGTTTCTGTTTTGACAGAGTCTCATATAGTCTAAGCTGCCCTCAGACATATTTATGCAGTCAAAGGTCATTGTGAACTCCTGGTATTCCTCCCTCTACCTCCAGAGAGTATTGGATTACAGTCCTGTGCCACCATGCCCAGTTTATGCTAGAGATCAAGCCCAAGGCTTCATGCATGCTAGACATGCTCTTTTCCAGTTTAGCTGCACTCCAGTGTGAACTGATCTTTCTGCTTTGCTGTTTTTTGTTTTTTTGATGCAGGGTCTCTCTACATAGCCCTGACTGGCCTGGAACTCTCTATGTAGACCAAGCTGACCTCAAACTCACAGAGATCCACCTGCCTCTGCTTCCTGAGTGCTGGGATTAAAGGTGTGTGCACCACCACACCCAGTCCTGTGAATAAAATCTTAACTTTAATAGGTGAATTAAAGACATGAAATACTATTTATTTATTTACTTACTTACTTCCTTATTTATTGGGGTTTTGTTTGTTTTGTTTTGTTTGTTTGTTTTTAGAGATAGAGTTTCTCTGTGTGGTCCTGGCTGTCCTGGAACTTGTAGACCAGGCTGGCCTTGAATTTAGAGATCCACCTGCCTCTGACTCCCAAGTGCTGGGAATAAGGTGTGCACCATGATGCCTGGCTGAAAAAAAAATTTTTTTTTAAATTTATCTATTTTATTTTATGTGTACGAGTATTTTGCCTACATGTATATATACACGAATGTGTACCACATTCGTGGCTGGTGCCTACAAAGTCAAAAGAGGGCATAAGATCCTATGGGACTAGAGTTACATATGGTTGTGAGTTGCCATGTGGGTGCTAGGAATGAACCCAGGTCCTCTGCAAGAGCAACCAGTGCTCTTAACTACTAAGCCAATTCTCCAGCCTCCCAAAAAAAATATTCTAGAGGAATATAAATGTGAATTTAGAAAGGGCAATATCTAAAAAGTAATAACAAATGATTACACACACACATACACACATGCACAAACATGCTCACAAGTGTACATGCAGAAAATGAAAATAAAATGAACAGGGCAAAATGTTAACATTTAGGGAATCCAGAAAATGGCCAAATAGGAAGTTTTGCCTACTTTAAAATAAAAGCATCGCCAGGCGGTGGTGGCGCACGCCTTTAATCCCAGCACTCGGGAGGCAGAGCCAGGCGGATCTCTGTGAGTTCGAGGCCAGCCTGGTCTCCAAAGCGAGTTCCAGGAAAGGTGCAAAGCTACACAGAGAAACCCTGTCTCGAAAAACCAAAAAAAAAAAAAAAAAAAAAAAAAAAAAAGCATCAAAAGAAAACTAACACTTGAAACCTGAAAGGGAGCTGTACATTCCTAGGTGGAGGACATCCAAAGTGCAGCTACAGTCCCCGACCTGTGGTTGGAGGCATCTCAACCCAGAGTCTTCTGTGGGTGTGTGGGCTTCTCTCTGGCATAGGGTAACAGCAATTTAGCCTATGAAGATTGAATTGTTTGAGGGTGTCTTATTTGGGGAAAATCATAAAACATTATCCCACTCTATGTCCCAAGCTGACCTCTGACTCTGGATATTCCCTTCTTTCAAGTGTTCAGACTTTGGGGGTACACCACCATGCTGGGGCATACTGAAAGAGTGTTTGTAGTTCCTCTGAAGCCAGTGCATTGAAAACATTATTCAAGGGCAAAGGTCATGGCCTTGAACTGCAATCATGGCACTTTTCCTGCATCTGGCTTACAGAGATGAGTGATGTTTCCAGGAGCTCAAGTAGAGCTCTTGCTGAGTGTGTCATGATTATACAATCAGATGGTCTCATACTTAAGTAAACAAGACAATCGAGGACTTCAGAGAAACAAAGTTCCTATTACAGAGCATTCCTTGCATGCCAAGTACATGAGAAATGGTAAAATAGGTGAAATTCCTGGAACCTAAACCCCATGTGTGAGCATCCCATCTCACCCAAATGAAGACCAAGAAAAATTGGGAAATTTCTCTACACATTGTCAGAAAAGGCTCAGGCCTTGTCTGACACCATTATAAATGTTTCTCCCAATGAACCCCTAAATATTATTTATCCTCAAATATCATACTGAAACCCACAAAATAGGGAAGGCCAAGATGTTTCCCTAAATCTGTAATTGGCTTGTATGTCTGAACTCTGCTTTATCCAAGATTCATAATACACCAGTCCAGACATCCCATATTTAATGAGACTGAGAAAATGGCATGGTCATGACAGGGCCTCCCTGGTTCCATGCTGGATATCACTGGGTGTACTCTTCCATAAGTATTAGCCATGCAAATGGGCTTTTGCTCCTGGCTAGATTATTATTTTTATTATTAATTATTATTGTTATTATTATTTTGGATTTTTTTCCCTTTTTTTGTTTTGTTTTCTCAAGACAGGGTTTCTCTATGTAGCCCTGGCTGTCCTGGAACTCTCTCTGTAGACCAGGCTGTCCTTGAACTCACAGAGATCTGCCTGCCTCTGCCTCCTAAGTGCTGGGATTAAAGGCATGCATCACTACTGCCGCCACTTGGCCTGCTAGACTCTTCTTGCCAAACTGTAGACTCACAGAGGGACCCACGAAAATCTACATCATCCTGAAGTCGAAGGTAGAGAAGAGGTATTGAGGAAGGAGGTTTGGAGTGTATTGTAAGAGGGGGCCCCACACTTTGTTCAACCAACACCAGACTAGTAACATTTCTTTAGACACTATGATTTATAGCTGGGAACATGTGATGCTGATTACACAGGAGGTTCAGGAAGGGCCAATAGCACAGGACAGAAATGTGATACAATGGTAAGAAACACAAAGATTCGGGCGTGTGGGAAAATGGCATTTGGTTTTAAGACCCTCTTTAACACCAAAGAGGAAGCAGGACAGGGACCTGCTGCTGACCCACATCACAAGCAAAGGAACCCTTATTCTTCCACCCTGAGGCAGGTCAACTCCACTTTCCCTATTTCCCAGATGGGAAAATTGAAACAGAAAAGATAGCAAAAGTAAAGCTACCTGATGGTACAGAGGAGCAAGAAAGAGGTGGCAGTACGTCCAGCCACCCCTCAGACAGGCCAGCAAGCTAAGCTTCATCCTGCTCGTTGAGGCGTCCCTTCTTATGCCTCATTAAAGGTGAGGGAAATCCAAGTTGTGACACTCCTTGGCCTCTGCCCACCACCTGTGTGTGTCAAAGGCAATTCACAGGCAGGGAGTAAAGGGGCAGGTGCAAACGATTCCTGCTTCCTAGGAAAGACAGAAGGCAGATTCTGAGAGCCCCTTGACGCTACACACCTTCAACCCTAAGATTTATGGGGTGTGTGCATGGAGGTGGAATGTGCCTCACTGGAAAGCTGTAGGTCATGCCTACCTTCAAAGCCTAGACTTTCCTGCATGGGCCACAGAGCTACTGCTTGGGTCTCTCTCAAGCAAATATTCCTAGCTCTTGGCCTCAGGCTTCTAAATCAAAACTCAGTAACTGATCATCTTTAAGCAGAGCTCTGCAGCAACAGGACAGACTTCTGTGGGAAAATTTGGTCCCCCAAATGCCACACTGGCCAACAACAACTGACCAGCTAACCTGACCTTGAACCTGTTCCCGGGACACAGTCCCACCTATGTAACTGGAGACTGCGATATCTTCCTTGGGATGAGTCCCGCTGCCCAGCTCAGAGCACCAGGATGAAGTGGACTAGGCTACGGCAGGCTTGGCAGGTGTATCTGCCAAGAAAGCTCCACAGACCCCTCCCTCCCTATTGTACAAACAGGGCAGGGAAACACACAGGACTGACAGACTAAGGAGAAGGAGGACTCTCAGGATGCTGAGACAGTCCGTGGGACACCATTGTGAACAGCCCCAGTCCGAGAAAACCTGGAGCCCTAAGGAGACAAGGTGCTAAGAGGGACAGAAGCCTCTAAGTAGAACCTAAATTATCTACAGCAAAGATAAAACTCAGTCAGAAGGCTTCCTCTGGTCTCCCTGGACAGGCCTCTGGAGTTTCTGACCAGTTGTCAGGGTAGTGTAGACAGGAGCAGGGCCCTCTCTAAGGCCCAGAAGGATTGGTTGTAAAGGACTGGAGGGCTCTGTGCCATAGTAGAATGACTCCCCACTTTCCTGGGGAGTCACACCCAGGCTCCCCTGCCTAAGGAGTCCTACAGTGGGGCATGAGCAGCATTCTGACCCCTTTTAGCAGCACACCCAATAAACAGCCAGGCATAGAACTCCCAAGTCTCAGCAAGCACCTGGGGAATGAGAGTCCTTGTGACTACCAGTCACTTCCTTCTGGCCCCAAAGAGATGAAGAGGCCCAGAGAATGCACTCGGGGTCTCCAGAGGAGAATGAACACCTGGCTGGCAATGCCAGCAGGTTGACAGCCAGAGGGGAGGATATGGTGCCTGCTGTCTCCTCCAATGTTCTAGACATCCACATCCAGACCAGGTTCCTGGAACAGTGACTGCTTCCTCAAGTTGAGCCGGGCACACTTGGGGCACGTGGTTGAGTTGTCATAATAGCAGTCCCTGAGGTTAGAAAGATAGGCTGGGTTCTGCACAGAAAATTTTACATCCCGGGCTAGCTCTCAGTATCTTCCTACGAACAGGCAATCAAGCTCAGAGATGCTCACAGCCCTAGGGCAGAAGCAGAATCTGCACCCAAGTATGATTTACCACAAAGCCTGGTACATAGGTGCTAGCCTCCACTGGAGAGTCAGGCTGCCAGCAATCATCCCCAGGCTCCAGGCTTTTTTTATTTGTTGTCTGTGTACCTGTACATGTGAAGGTAGGCACACACATGTCATGATACACTTGTGGAAGACAGGAACAACTTGCAGGAGGTGGCTCTCTTGCCACCGTGTGGGTTTCAGGGATCAAACTCAAGTAACGAGGCTTGGCAGCAAGCTCCTTTACCTACTGAGCCATCTAGTCAGCCCTCTGAGCTCTGACTTACTCGGCCATCTCCATCATTTATTAACGCTAAGGCAGCTTCTACCCCTGGTTCCCAAACTGTGTGTCAAAGTATGATAGGGCTCACTCAGCAGACTCCTTTGTTATTTTGGTTTTTAAACTTTTCTCTTCGGGCTAAGATGACAGACGTGTACTACCATGCCCAGCTCTAGTCTGCACGAGAAATCAAACCCAAGGTTTCATGCATGCTAGGCTACATTCCTAGCCCCTTAATGGAACTTTTAATTTGGACGGACACATCAGGGCCTAACTCCAGCAAAGGGCTCTGAACACCAGACAGCAAAAGCCCAAATGTCTACCTCCTCTCTCCTGGGCAACAGGCTTCACAGGACCAGCTGCAGCCAGGGACAAGGGAAGGCATTCTGCTTAGAAGGCAGGGAGCAGCCTCAATACCTAGCCTGAGAGTGAGCTACAGCCACACTCACCTGTGGAAGACAGCTGAACAGTCGGTGCACACAGAGGTATGGCTGTCAAATGGGAACAGCACGTCACCTTCTTTGCAGAGTTCACACACGAACCCCTTGGCTTGGCACCGCTGTTGGAAAGGGAATCAGTATTAATGACTGGCAAGTAATGCCAACTCAGGCCAGGAATACACTGGGCAATCCTGACCCTGAGGGCTGGTGGACAGAACAGCTAAGAGTCTCCTCTAGACAGGGCCATGATCACAGAGGGGATGAGGAAACTCACCTCACAGTCCAGCTTGATGTGCTTGGCAAAGAGCGTGTGGATCTCAGTGAGCGAGCAGCTGAGGCGGCCCATGTGCACCTCCAAGAGGTCCTGGATAGAGTACATCTCATCGTTCTCCACAAAATGCTGTCGGTCCTGGAGCTGCCAAGACCCAGCAGGTCTTACCCCAAATGCAGAGAAAGGGTCCCCCATTCCCCACCTATGGCCACTCCTGTTGTCAGGACCCAGGGTTCTTGAGGAAACCACAAGTTCATAGGTTATCTGTATAGGGACCCCAAGAGCCTGGAGAAGCCAAAGGGCAGATATGGCCAGGGCAACATTTCCTGATCTATATGCCCCATTGCACACACCTAAAATGCCCCTCCAGCCACGACGGCTGTTCAGGGCTCCTCACCCTTCACAACAGCTTTCCCCTGCCATCCACGCCTCTTCCTGCTCCTGGTCTCTGTTTAGCACCTTCCAGTTCTTCCTACCCCTTGCCCTGCTTGCTTCTATGCACAGTGCTCGCACTCCGACAGACTGCCTATTTCCCTTGCCTTCCGGACCCATCGGCCACTCTCCAAGGGCCTGTCTTGCTCACTATTCCCATAATTCAGAACAGTCTCTGAGATTATTTATTGAGCAAAGCAGTGGGTGAGTCTTAAAACTTCGGTTTTGTTCAACCTGCCCGAGGAGGCTAAGGTCAAGGTCACCTCCATAAAAGCTAAACACGATGATGGCTTATCCTAGTTTCCCAAACAGATCAGAGAACAGTTATGTGTAGAATATTTGATAGTTTGTTTTAGATGACATTCCCAGAATAAAAAGTTTGGAAGGCTGCTAGAAGCATAACCTATCTGGCTACTGCGTTATCTGAAGAATCTGAGCAGGAAGCATCCGATCACCCCGGCTCTCTGAGACCTGTCCCTCTAGCAGTCTGACCTGCAGCAGCAAGCGTGCCTCCATGGCCTCCTTGCAGGTGATGAAGTATGGCTTCATGAGCAGGATGTCTTGGCGCAGCTTCTGCAGACACAGACAACAGGTGGACACCTCAGCCACGGCACACTGGTGGTACTGTTTCTGTGAGGCTAAGGGGCTGGTTTTGTATTGGCTTTACAGGGGCCATGCGCACAGGGTGGCTTCTCCTCATACTGTGGGTGACAGCAAGGTCAGCAGGGACTGGGGAAGGTGCCCTCAAATTCCACCAGATGGTCCTACATTTGAATGGTCTATCCAACCTCAAATGCAAATCACAGTTTCTGAGCTACATAGGATCTTGAGGTTCATTAAACATGCCTCTTGAGAGCTCCCATTCATGTCACTTAGCTCAGTCCCAGAGACAAGCAGTGGGCCCATCCCACCGCCTCAGGTCAGCACTAAGTCATATCCAACACAGTGGGCCGAAATCCTAGGCTGATCCCATACTGCTCATCAGTGCCTTGGCCTTGACCACTCACCTTGCTCCGACTCAGACCCCCCCCCCCCCCTCAAACATGGAATCTAAGTCCTTTCTACTGACTCGCCCAGGACATCATCAAGCCCGGCCTGAACTACAGCACCTTCTGACCTCAGCCCCGACTCTTCCGGCTACAAGTGGCCAAAAGCCATAGAGAGCTGCTGAAAACGTCTAGTATTCACTTGGATTGCTCTAAGTATAGGGTACACTCTAGAATTCAAAGTTATAGTACACATAAAAAGAGAATAAAATAGCTTGACAATTTTGTATGTTGATTATGTATCATAATAATATTTTGATTCTATTGGGCTGAAGAAAATATACTACTAGATAGGTGTAGAAGCACAAACCTGCTGTATACCCACACTTGGGAGGTAGAGACAGGAGGATCAGAGTTCAAGACCAGCCTCAGCTATACATCAAATTCAAGGTCAGCCTGAGCTACATGTGCTACCATGCAGATTTATGCAATGCTGGGAACTGAACCCAGTGCTTCCTGCATCTGAGTTTCATTCATCTGAATTACATCCCCAGCCAGGTAGGTAAATAGGTAGACAGTTGATTGACAGATGGATAGAATTAAAATTGTATTTCACCTTCTCTCTCTCCCTCTCCTCCCTTCTCTCTCTCTCTCTCTCTCTCTCTCTCTCTCTCTCTCTCTCTCTCTCTCTCACACACACACACACACACACACACACACACACACACACTTTCTGACTATCTATCTCAGGCTGACCTCACACTAGTGATCCTCCTACCCAGGCCCCTAATGCTAACATCACAGGATGAGCCACCACCCTAGGTTCTGCTTTTTCAATGAGATTATTAGAGAATTTAACATTGTGTTTATGGTTGTAACTTTTTGTTTTGTTTTTTGAGACAGGGTTTCTCTGTGTAGTTTTGGTGCCTATCCTGGATCTCACTCTGTAGACCAGGCTGGCCTAGAACCTGCCTCTGCCTCCTTAGTGCTGAGATTAAAGGCGTGCGCCACCGCTGCCCAGCTGGTTTTAACATTTTGATCCAAGAGATAGCAAGGAGCCTGTGAAATAGCCCACCTCCTCTGCCCAGAGCCTCCCATGGGGAGACAAGTCCATCCCAACCCTAAGCAGGGCCCAGCCTCACCCGGATCTCCACCAGCTCTTCCACGTAGTTAAACAGCAGAGGGTTAATCTCCCGGAGCCGGAGCACTGGCCGAGACACCATCAATGCCAGGTAGCGCATGCTGCAGCGGGACACCTGCAGGGTAGCTGAGTGACCAGCTTGCAGAGCGAGGACTGGTGGGGCCATGCCCACCTTCGCCCTGCTCTCCCTCCCCACCCCCACAAGCACCGTATCTCCCGCACCAACCTTGCGTGGCTCAAAGTCCCAGTTGTGCACCACTCGAGCGGGGATCACAGCCAGGTCATTCCAGTGGCAGTGGCTGCAGTAGTACTGGCCAGTGTAGTCGCACTGCCGGGCCTCGCTAGGCACACCTCCTGCGGGGCCCGGGTTGTTCCGAGGTCAGACAGCTATGAGGGATTACGGTCTGCCTTCCCTGCCCAAGGACTCACACCATGTGGTCTATCCTCCCTCACCAAGGCTGCAGTAAAGTGTGAGCCAAGTTAGAGGTCCCCTGTACCGCCCCCCAGACTTGACTTACCCATTCTCATCCAGGAGGCCCTTGGCCTTCCCAGTGTCTCGGCAAAATGAGACAACAGAGTAGGAAGACAGAAAGAACCCCTGAAGGGACCCCACAAGTTCATAGTAGTTAATATTTCCATCTCGAGAATGTTTTCATTTTCCTTTCTTCTGCACACTTGGGATGAAACCGAGAGCCTTATATATGCTAAGCAGGCACATCCCCAGTGCAGCATCATTTGTTTTCCCCTAGCCCTTGCCTTTGTGGGCTCTCTGTGACAGTGGGAACACAAAGGCACTATCGTCAGAGATCAGAGATCAGCCCTGGAGAGACTCGGACAAGTCAGGAAACAGCCAGAAACTGACTATTCCCATGGGGACTCAAGGAATGGCAATAACTTCGCTTAGTGACATCCCCAAAACAAGGCACACGGACTGTGCTGGCCCCAGGCCCTCACTCAGCTGTTATAGTACATCTTTTTCACACAGCAGCCAGGTGCCCTTCCTGGATCAGCTCTGCCACTGTTCTCCCCCAACTTGGAAGAGGACCCCATCGTTCACTCACGCAGAGAGATGGGAGCCCGGCACTCAGCACATCGGTAGTCCTGGCTGTCCAGCCCAGTCTCAGGGCAGATGTTCAGCTCATACTCAGCCTGGTGACTAACCTTGGAGCTGACACAGGGTTTGGAGATGAGGTTCAGGCACTTGCTGTGACAGCGGTAATAACACCCTGCAGTGGGAAAATACCCATATCTCTCAAAAGTTGTGGTGTGGATCGCCACAGCCTAGGATGACCTTCAGCTGGACTGCTCCACACACATACTCCATCAGTGCCCCTCCAGTGACCACATCAACTCAAGACTTTCTCCTTGCACTACTGAGTAGCTCAGCATCTCAAAGATCCTCATGTCTCTGGATGCCGAGCTTTGTCTCTTCACCATGACTCACACATCTAGAGTCAACCTGCCATTAGCATCCATCAAACCCAAGCTTTCCAATGAAGTTTCCTCTCTTACATCTCAACTGTCTTCTCCATCTATCTCAGGTTTCAGCGACTCTATCCTTCTGGGGTTGAGACTACAGCATGAGTCATCCTGACTCCTCACTTATTTCTGCAGCCAGCACTGACCTCACTCACTCCTCACACAACACTCAACCTTCATCAGAGATGACCCTCTCTTCCTTCCAGCTCAACTTAGCAACCAGAGTGTAAGTATTCAGCACCCATGTATAGTCCTTACTGCACATACAGAAATGTCCTTGGTCTCCTCTGATGGTACCTCTACTACACTTTCCCCTTAGACATGGTACTCATCCTCACAGGTAATAGACACACATCAACCACAGGGCCTTTGCATATAAGACTCCCCCATACCACATCCTTCCTCCTTAGATAATACTCCTGGCTTGCACCCTGACCTCCAAGTGCTTGCTTAAACTGTCATATGAGTCTTTTCAGTTTACCAAAAATAGTACCCGCTGCACCCCCTATAAATATTATCCCCTTTCAGTTTTCCTTCCTAGCACTGTCTGACATAGCATGCTGTTTCCTAATCCGGCTTCTCATACAGAACAGTACCATCATTCTGCAACACTCTCTCTGCACTATCCAATATGGAAACCACCAGCCTCATGTGGCTACCGAGCATTTGCAAAGTAGATAATAAAACTAATCTACATATTCAACTCAGGTGAATTTTAATTTCAAAAACCTTCTGTGACTCATCAGCACTATACTAAACAGCTCGGATCTAGAATCACGGCCAGTGAAGGCAGGCACGCTGGTCTCCTCTGCTCCTCTCCTCTCCAGCACACGGCAATGCGTGGTCATCTGTACACCCTGGACAAGTCACTCGAACGTGGCCCACGTCTGGGAGCAGAGCATCTATAAGAGTGGGTCTACAGGAGTGGGTCCTGGTCTTGGTCTACCTGTACAGGTGTACCAGGTCTGGATGAGGCCCCAGATGATGGTGTTGCACTTATCACAGGTTTGCTTGACACTCTTGCTCTTCTCCTTGTAGAAGCGATGCTCTAGGAGAACCCGGATGTTGGGTTCCTCCTCATTGGGATCCTGAAGGGGAACAGTCATAGGTGAGCGAAGCTGTAGCTGCTCCTTCCCTTTGCTCCAGAAGGTCAGCAAATGCCTTCCTGGAACTGCCTGCAGCAGAGATGCTGAGTTTCTGCCCAAATGCATCTTGCCCCTCTCTCCTTAGCAGCACAGCTGTAGCTGGGTACCAGCCCTCAAGAACACACCCAGCTTTCCCCAGCCTCTTTGCATCCAGGTCTGTACAGTCCCGAGGGCCTGTAAGCAGGAGGGAGGTTGCCTCGGCCCTTCTGTTTGCTGTGGTAGGGTGACCTCAGACTCCCTTCAGGATCTGGCAGAGTAACAGAAAGGACGACCTAGGGCTCTAATATTTCTGGCTGCTGCCTGGACCAAGTGAGTGGCTTTCTTTCATGAGGAAAACAACCACTGTTCCTGGCATATGCTTGCTACCATATCTATCCTTACCTATTCCCTAACGAATATTCCACTTCAAACTCCCAGAGTTTCAGAGTCAGTACAAGGGATACAACAGACCACCAAGCCAAAAAAACACAGGCTTGGGACTAAAACCTGGGGTGGATTCTATGATACACTGTCGTCACCTCCTGCTGACACCTTCAGGTTGTCACTCCTCCTGGGTCACACAACTCAAAGAGCTGTCAACACACTTGCTTCAGTGGGTGGTCACAAAACTCACCAATGGCTGTGATGTTTCCAGAATAAGCATATACATAATCCAAGTCTCATCAATTGCTGTGAATGTCCCTAAGCTTGTGAGCCAGGCCTGGCTAATCAGTCACCATTGACCTCCTGGCCACACTGAGAAAGGTAAACTTGTGGAAAGACAGGTTTCAGTTGCTGAGGTCATCCCTGCCACCTCCGAGCGCCTACCTGAAGGCCGATGCAACACAAGGTAGATCAAAAGAGTACAGGATTCCTGACGTTGTTAGGAGCTGCCCTCCCCGCAAATGGTTAACCAAACAATCTTTCTTCCCTTTGCTCTAAGCACCTTAGGATTGGCTTTCTGTCCCTCCAAATCAAGAGGGGCTGTCCTACCAGGGAAGTGACTAGCCTACACTTTCACCCTGCTTTTCTCGCCCCACCCCCTGGAAGGAGCCAAGGGCACCCTGTCCTCCTGCCTCCCACGGTTCCAGCCATGCTCCAGGCACGTCTGTGGCAGAGCAGGTCCACACCCACCTTCAGCTCCTGGAGCTTCAGCCGGAGGTGAATGAGCCTCACCACAGCATCCTTCTGTTTCTCTGACTGCTCTGGCAGCTCCAGAATCACCTGCTTGCACTCTTCAATGGCCTGCCGCAGCTGCTGGACATCGGAGGCTAGGAAAAGACCCTACCCAGGTTGGAAGGCCACAGTCAGATGACTACCTGGAAGTCCCTCCCCATGGAAGGTAGGCCTGTCTTCATGAGTATGTAGGCACATAGCAGACCTCAGCTCCTTCACCCAGATGAAGACTTGCTCAAGGCCCAGGAGAGTTAGCAACACTTAAGAATCCACTCGTGCTCCCTACTCCTAGCTGGGACGATCTACCCACAGGCCTCTAAACACTTAATTCGGGAGACTTTCCAAAAGACAACTTCCACAGCTGGCTCGGTTGATGAAGTGCTTGCCTAGCATACACGAGGTCCTGGGTTCGGTCCCCAGCACCAAATAAACCTCCCTTGACCTCCCTTGGTCTGTATCCAAACAGGAGGTGGAGGCAGGAAGATCGGGGGTTAAACATAACAAATTGGAGGACAGACAGGGCTAGAGACTTGTCTCAAAAACAGGGAAAAGAAAAAAAAAAAAAGGTTAAATTCATCTTCAGTTACATAGCAATTACATAACAAGTTTGAGGCCAACCTGGACTACTTGAGAACCTGTCCTAAAGACAAAACAAGGGGCTGGGAAGAGGACAATCAGTGAGGTGCTTGCCATTCAAGTATGAGGACCTGAGTGGGGACCCCAGCACACAGATAAAATGCTTCGTAAGGCAGAACAAGTCTCTAATCCTAGTGCTGGGGAAATGGAAACAGATGATCCCCGGTGTTCCTTGGTCAGCTGGGCTGGCTGAATAAGTGAGCTCCAGGTTCAGTGAGACTCTGTCTCAAAATAAATAAACAAGGTGGAGCAGGTGAGGCAGAGGCAGGTGGATCTCTGTGAATTAGAAGCCGGTCTGATCTACTTAGCGAATTCCAGGCCAGCCAGGGCTACATAGCGAGACCCTATCTCAACCAACCAACCAAACAAACAAGTAAATATCATGTACTCATGTACAGACACATATACCAAACACACAATAAAGAAAATGTTTTTAAAAATACCAGGCCGTGGTGGCACAGGCCTTTAATCCAGCACTCGGGAGGCAGAAGCAGGTGGATTTCTGAGTTCTAGGCCAGGCTGGTCTACAGAGCCAGTTCCAGAACAGCCAAAGTTATGTAGAGAGAAACCCTGTCTCATGGGGGTGGGGATGACGTCTAAGAGCTGGGAGTGTTAGTCAGTAGTAGAGTGCTTATCTAACACGCCAGAGGCCCCCAACATTACACACACACACACACACACACACACACACACTTCCTCTTTAGAAATCCAAATCCAGTAGCCCTTTTAGCCATGCTGTTTTATTTCTAAAAAGAAAGCTGAGAAAATGAGGAAGAGGTCTCTGGCCTAAAGGCTAAGAAGCTAGTGAAGCAGCCTGAAGGTGTACTCACCCCAGACTCAGTACTTCCGAGTGCTATCTCATATACTGACCCAGAAGCTCAGAGCCTAGCTAAGGCTCCAGACCTAGAATGCTCTGCTTCCAGGTTCAGACCTCAGAGCATGTGCGTGTGTGTGTGTGTGTGTGGGGGGGGGGGGGGGGGGGTCAGCTGACTCTGCCCTCAAGAGACACGCTCCTCCTTCCACAAGACGGGCTTTCAAAACACCCAGGCAGAAAGGTAGTGGTGCCCTTCCTTCCTCATTGGAGCTCATTTTGAGGCTAAGAAGAAGTGTGAGACATGTTATAAAAAATAGAAAACACCCTGGGCCTGATGGCATGGGCATGTAATCTAACTAGTTGAGAGTCTGAGGCATTAAAAAATTCAAGACCTGCCTGGGCTACAAAGCAAGTTTCAGGCTAGCCGTAGAAACTTAGGAAGAATTAATTTCAAAATGAAAAGTTAAAAAATGAGGGCTGGAGTGACAGCTCAGTAGTTAAGAGCACTTGCTCCTACCTGGGTGGTACAGCACACACCTTTAGTCCCAGCACTTGGGAGGCAGAAGCAGGTGGATCTCTGTGAGTTCGAGGCCAGCCTGGTCTACAGAGCAAGTTCCAGGATAGGGCTACACAGAGAAATGCTGTCTTAAAAAACCTAAAAAAAAAAAAAAAAAAGCACTTGTTCCTCTTGCAGAGATATTAAATCAGTTCCTAGTACCCACAAAGTGGTTCTCAGATGCCTATAATTCCAGTTCCAAGGGATAAATACCCTCTTCTGGCCCCACAGGCACACATGTGGTGTACATACATACATGCAGCCACTCACATAAACACACAAAATAAAAATAAGTAAATCTTTTTTAAAAGAGGGGTTTGAGGCTGGGGATACAGCTCAGTTGTATTCCTGATCATTCCTGAGGCTCTGAGTCTAATCTCTAGTGTACAGACACACACATAAAAATTATATACATACACAAGCTAAGCGTAGTGGCACACACCTTTAATCCCAGCACTCAGGAGGCAGAGGCAGGCAGATCTCTTTAAGTTCAAGGCCAGCCTGGTCTACATAGTGAATTCCAGGCCAGCCAGAGTAATACAGTGTGACTCTGTCTCAAATAAAAATTAACATACATACATACATACATACATACATACATACATACATACATACATAAATGGATGAATGAATGAATGAATGAATGAAAGAGGAGCTCCACCTCCCTTCCCCAAGCTGTCTCTAGACCCTCAGACTTTGAAGATGAGGGTCAGGTACCATGTATGTTTCAGATTCGAAACCCAGGAGACTTGGCTGACTTGGGAGCCACTGAACCCAACAGTAGTGGCTAGCTAGAAAGGAAGCTGCACCAGCTCATGAGAGTGTCTGAACCGCTAGCCACCTGAAAGTGCTGTGATGTGGATAACACCTACGTAAGGGTCTAGACTCCAAACCTTACCACAGGGCGGGAAAAGTGGTCTTCAGACAGGCCAAGATCCATCACGCGCTCAGAGTAGTGGAACTCAGGCTCCCCAGTGGGCAGCTCAGGCAGAGTCTCTGGAGTAAGAAAACATGCATGAACGGTGGCAAAGGTCTGCCTGCTGCTCTTTCTCCTCATTCCCCAGGGAGGTAGCTGGGGTGGACAGAATCAAACCAGAGGTGTTGGGGAGCCCACAGAAAGGGGGTACCGGGGAAAGCTAGACACCACTCAGCTGTCTGCTTCTGTCCGGTTGGCATTTGTAAGTGACTGTCTCGCTGTGAAAACCAGAAAGCACTAATCAAAGTTACAAGTGAAAGGTTCCAGGTCCTGATCCCCTTGTAGGAGGTCTGACTCTTGTGCTTTGCCAAAACAACAGCAATAACAACAACAAAAACTTGTGAACCAATACTGGCAGTGCCCAGGGAGGTCCACAGGTAGCATTATAGAAACATCCCAAACTGGGTGTGGCCACACATGCCTGCAATGCCAGCCTTTGGGAAGCTGAAATAGAATCACTAGTTTCAGTTTCAGACCAACCTTGGCTGTATAGAGACCCAGTCTCCAAATAAACAAAAACTGTCCCAATTTCTAAGGCAGATGCTTCCTGTGTGACTGAAGAAAAACCACTCACTGTCTACATCACACAATTCATGAAGTCCTGTGTGAACTTCAGGCCACCCAAACAACCACTCTGGTCCCAAGACTCTAATTATCTTATCCAAAATGACTGCCCTCCTCCCTTTCTGATCCCAAGAAGGCGGAGGTCTATCCACAGATATTTCATTCACTCGACTCTTCTCCCTAGAACCTGGCTCTGAGTTTTCTCCAAGTGTTCACTAAGCACATACGTGTGAGGCCCTGGGACTCAACAGTGAGTGATTCTCCAGACTCAGATCCCTGCCCTCTAGAGCGTTCATTCTGGTCAGGTGGAAAGTGACTATGCCCACCCCACGGGAAGGGCCACAGGCAGACAGAGTGGTGAGGCTGGTGTAAGGTGTCCGTCTGTACAGCCCTCACCCTGCAGTGCTCACCTTCAGAAGTGACTTCTTGGGACTTCTCACTGGGCTCCTGTTCATGTTGTCTTGGTCCAAGCGGCTTGTTGAAAGGGTTGAGGTGGGCCTGCCGGAACCGAGCCAGCTTCTCATCATATTCCATAGCATCCCACCTGCAAGGCCCAGCAAGGCTGAGATGAGTGGCCAAGTCCCAAGCTCATCATGGCTCATCCCTTTTCTCCAGTCCCCGGTCTCTTTCACTTCCCAGAGGCTGGGAGATAGTGCAGGGCAACTCCACAAAGGCATCCTTCTCCCCACAGGCCACCTCAGCTACCTCTAACCAGGCTCCACAGGCAGTGTTGTCTCAGAAGAACCCCCAGTGATGAGGGCTAGCCCAGGGGTACAGGCTTATTCCAGGGTGCCTGCTCCTGTGCAGGAGCTCCTTTGGCCCCAGATGCCCTAGGGCTCTAGCCCTGGGGCTACTGGCTCTTTAATGGGCCTCAAATGGCCAATTTCCCACTTGGCCCCAGGCCAGCCAGGCCCCTGCTGCTAGCCTGTTCTTACAAGACACACCTCTTGGAACTGGATCTTCCTTCCTGTCCCCTTACTCGGGGTGTTCTATATAAAGCAGAGCTCCCAAAAATACCATCCCTGTTCACCGGTGGGGCCAAATCCAAGGCCCATCCTTGTCCTGCTCCTGGCAGGGGAACCTAGGCACTCTTCCCTGGCCCCAACAATGCATCTAGGTTCTAGTATGGGCTAGTACCTCTTGAGCCTGCATTCCAGTCCTGCTTCAGAACCACATGGTCTGAGTTATTCCTATAGCATCCTGCCCTGGGATCCCATGTAGCAGGAAGTGTTTAGCATCAAGATCACTAGGCACTCTTTCCCCTCCCTAGAGCTCAGCCCACATTGGGAATACAAAGCTGGTGGCCCCTGGCAAAAAGGGAAGGGCTGTATCTGAATGAAACAGAAGCGGTTGGAATGCAGTTCTCCACTTATCTAGTTGGGCCACATTCCATAGCTTCTCTCTGCCTCTGTTTCCTCACCCAGAGGCGGGGCACTGGTTGGTGAAACTAGTTCGTAGACACTTAGCAAAACAGGTGTGGTGGTGCACGCCTTTGATCCCAGGGCTTGGGAGGCAGAGGCAGGCGGATCTCTGTGAGTTCGGGCTAGCCTGGTCTACAAAGTGAGTGCCAGGATAGCCAGGGTACACAGAGGAACCTTGTCGTGAAAAAAGACAAAAATGGCCGGCCGGTGGTGGCGCATGCCTTTAATCCCAGCACTCGGGAGGCAAAGCCAGGCGGATTTCTGTGAGTTCAAGGTCAGCCTGGGCTACAGAGTGAGTTCTAGGACAGGCACCAAAGCTACACAGAGAAACCCTGTCTCGAAAAACAAAACAAAACAAAACAAAAATGAAAAAAGAAAGAAGACGACCTGTGACTCCCTCCCCGCTCCTTCACGGAAAAGAAAAATAGGGGCACTAAGTCCAGAGCGGCTGACCCTGCTCAGTCCTCACTCTGTGGAGTGGCAACCTGTACCCATGGCTCCTCTCGACACCTGCAGGGGCCCTCTCTAGAGCACATCCTGCTGGCTTTGCCTCTGTTCAGGGAGAAGGCCATAGTCTGGTGAGAACTAGTAGCTGCTAAGAGAAGGTACAAGGCAGTGGTTCTCAACGTGTGGGTCTCGTCCCCGTCTGGGGTTGGGTTGAATGACCCTTTCACAGGGGTCGCATAGCAGATATTTACATTATGATTCATAGCAGCAGCAAAATTGCAGTTATGAAGTAGCAACGAAAATGATTTTCTGGTTGGGGGTTATCACAACAGGAGGAACTGGATTAAAGAGCCAGTGTATCAGGAAAGTTGAGAACCACTGCCTAAGGGGATGCAGGTGCCCTGGGCTGATGACTTTGGGTAAGCCACACAGCGCACTATAGTTGGGGGTCCCTGACCAGCACCTCCCAAGCATTCTAAGGACTAGCCAGAGTGCAGGAGAGATTAAACTATGCCCGTGTTCACTCACCCTTTCATCCTGAGTGAGGAATCATCATTGCCGCACAATTGCCCAGCCTTCCCTGCACCTAGGCATGGTAATATGACTGTTCCGATCAATAGAACGGGAGCAGAAAGATCACTCGGGACTTCTCAGAATCCTTCTTCCGCCCTTCCTCCTCTGTCTGGAATGCAGATGTCATGGGGGGAAGCTGTCAGAACCACCTTGAGCTATGACAGAAGCCACAAATGAGGACTGCCAAGCAACAAGATCGAAAGCAATCCCACCGAGCCTAGAGCTGCTCACCACTAGGTTTCAGTCACGTAAGGCAGAAACAAACTTGTTTACTCTACTGCTATTGGAAGGGAGAGTTGGTTCTTGCAGGCAAAATACACTCTAATAGACCACTCCAGTCACCTCATGTTGACAAAACGAACAACCTCAACCTGAGTGCGAGCTCCGCCAGCCACACAGTCTTTCTCTGCTCCCAATTTCTCATGTCTCAAAAGAGGAATTGTAATAGTACCACGCAGGGTTAAACAGTAACAGGGATAACCACGGGGGGAGGGGGGCACGACACAGACTCTCGTACCCTTAATCTATAAAGCCTGTTATTCACCCAGTCCCTCCCCCTCTTGTTAGACTCTATGGATGTGCCCATTGCCCATGCTCTTATTGCAAAATTCCACCAGGCACAGAATAATGACAGGCTGTCTCCAAGAACAAACTAGCCATCTATCTCTATCTCTATCTTACATGGGAAAATTCCCTTCAACAATGAGAAAGACTCCAGGCGGTGGTGGCACAAGCCTTTAATTCCAGCACTAGGGAGGCAACCTTTCTTTTGTTGTTTTTTGTTTTTTGTTTTTTCAAGACAGGGTTTCTCTGTGTAGCCCTGGCTGTCCTGGAACTCGCTCTGTAGACCAGGCTGGCCTCGAACTCACAGAGATCCGCCTGGCTCTGCCTCCCGAGTGCTGGGATTAAAGGCGTGCGCCACCACCCGCCTCGGCATAAAATTATATTCTTAAGAAGTGGAGGCAGATGGAGCTCTGTGAGTTCAAGGCCAACCTATACTACATAACAAGTTGCAGGCCAGCCAGAGAAACATGGTGAGGCCCTGTTTAAAAAAGAAGGAGCCGGGCGGTGGTGGCGCACACCTTTAATCCCAGCACTCGGGAGGCAGAGCCAGGTGGACCTCTGTGAGTTCGAGGCCAGCCTGGGCTACCAAGTGAGTTCCAGGAAAGGCGCAAAGCTACACAGAGAAACCCTGTCTCGAAAAACCATTAAAAAAAAAAATTAATTAAAAAAAAATAAAAAAGAAGGAAGTCTCAGGACTAATAAACCTTCTACGCTCCCCAACAAACAAAAACAATAAAATGCCTTCATTTTTCTCTGTTGGCAGCATGAACTTCTCAAAACCAGCTCTTCCCTTTCTCTCAAACTCTCTCCTTTACAATTAAAACTTCTGCCTAAGAGTTCACACACAGGCTGGTTTCATTTCCATAACCACGAGACAATATCCATGGGGTCTAGTATCAGGATTGTTGTAATGATTAAATTCATTAATAAAAAGGTCCAAGCTGGGCAGCAGTGGTGCATGCCTTTAATTCCAGCACTCTGGAGGCAGAGGCAGGCAGCCTCGTCTACAAAGTGAGTTCCAGGACAGCTAGAGCTGTTACACAGAGAAGCCCTGTCTTGAAAAACCAAAATAATTAATAATAATAATAATAAATGAAATTTGTTTTATACTATTCTCTTGCCTGGAAGTCAAGAGAGTAGTCTGAGATAGAAGGGAAGGATGACTGTGTAGTTTGGTGACACCAGAAGCTGCTCAGCAGCCACTGACATCCTATGGTGACCAGCCCAATCTCAAAGGGTGCAGGAGCCACTCCCAGAAGCCTTCCCTGGAAATCTCCTGATGTTTTAGAACATAGTCAGAGGGGTCCAAAGACCTTGGCAAGAATACTTGCCAGCAACTCTCCTCTGGGCTGCCTTTCCAAGAAAATGGTTCCCTTAGCCATCTCCTGAGTGGCACTGCCACCACCTGATCTGGAACAAAAGCAGGGGATGAATTAAGCAACGGAGCCATTTGACCTGTCAGCCTAGTTTGTCTGGAACCAGTTTGGAGAATCATACTGCCCTGACAACTGGGAACAAACAGACAACATCCCAGCACAGGCTGCTGGAAGCAACAGCGGGCTTTGAGTATGACACCATCTCCTGTTTCCCCACCCACCTCACAGAGGTCTGCACCCAGAATTCACCGCTGGTCTCAAGAAAAAAGATTCAAGAAAGGGGAAAACAAAACAAAACTCCATTCTATCAAGCCCCTGCAGAGCCCTCTCTGAGTAAAGATGGAGGGACTGTGGACGCATCAGAGGTACTAGGTGGGAGTTCAGAACGTGTTTCTGATATCAAGAGCCTGCCTCCCATGTATTACTGTGGGTTCAGTCACCAAAAAGTGCTAGTCCAAGGGCCACAGGAGGGCCTGAGAAGGTACAAGGTACATCCTATCTGTAGCAGGGATGGACGGGAAATACAGGCTAATCAGGGCCAGTGTTAACCATTCTCAACTACCCAAGCAGGAGCAGCGAAGCCACCCCAGAAGCGCGGCTCACACTTCTACCCACTACAATATGAATTCATTCTGAGGATGCTCCTGTCCTCACTGGGGCAGGTCTGTATGACACTCCTCACTTACTTCATGAACTGTGAAACCGAAGGCTCAAAAAAGCCCAACATGGCAAGAGGGCGGACAGCCCTGTGGTCTTTATGTCGGAAGTCCCATACACAGCCTCTGACTGCCACCCGGGGGGCTGGAGGGGCGGGGGTCCCCATCTGTGCATGCTAAGCTCTGCCCCACGTAATGCGGGGACCAATGAGGTCACCAAGGCCTTGCGCACAGCGGAGAGCCAGCAGGCGGCAGCCGGGAGCTGGACGTCTTGCTTGAGGCCTCTGCCAGTTCTGCGCCCTGGGTGCGCGCGACAGAAACCGGATCCCGGAGTCCGGCCAATGGCGATTGCGTGCCGAGATCTGTACCCTCGCCTGCTTCCCCACCAGACCCACGGGTCGCCTGCGGAGGCCGCTCCGCCGCTTACCTGGCTGCCGCTACATTGTACCGGACCGGCTGGCTACACTGTACTCCGTTGTCGCTGCTACATTGTACCGGCTCCGCCGCCCGCTGCTGCCGCCTCCGGCCAGGAGGTTCATGACACCGGTTGCCCCTCTGGCTCACTAGAGTGCCTCCCAGTCTCCCGCCTCAGGGTCACGGGTGCTTTGCCTTTGCCATGAGTCTTTTCTCGCTTCTGAGAAATTTTCTTCCCCTAGTAATTGCATTCGAGCAACCACAGTGGCAACCCCTCAACTTCCCCACAACTCCAACTCTGGCATTCAACTGTCCCCAGGACACCACCATGTAGACACCTAAGGTGCATCTCAAGCTCCAAAATTCTGAGAAAACAACACACACACACACACACACACACACACACACACACACACACACACACACACACACACACACACGCCTCTCTTTGATATCAGGTGAATCATTCCCACCTGAGGCCAAACTTTAGTGCATTCCTGACCATATTCCCCAGATGTTTTGTCAGGCCTGACTTCCGCCAATGCCCAGGACTAGCCAGTCCTCTCCCACTCATGGTAACCACCACAGCCATGGTAGGTAGCCTCACCATGCTCAGCTCCCTTCAAGTCTCAGCCCAGCAACTGGAAGTGTCCTGGGGAAGAAGTCTGCCTCAGACTTCGCTCTCCCAGCTCTCTCACCAGCATCCTCCCTCGCCCCTAACAGGCCAAGTCCATACTTGGGGCCCTGTCCAGACCAGTCTCTATGAAACATTCTTTCCTAATGACAGCCAAATGTCTCCCCTAATGCCTCCATCCTCAGTTGCTAGCACAGGTCTCTGAAAGGTAAGGCCCTTTCCCTAGCATACTCGTCACTGTCTGAAATCCCTCCTCTTACATTTGTACTCACTGTCTGTTCCTCATCCCCAAAGCTAAGAGCTAAAGGCAAGCACTTTGTACTCCTTCTTCAGTGCTGGAAGCCGAGACCACTGCTTGGACCCAAAGGTGCCAGTCACACAGGCCCAGGAACAATTGAATCCCCAGATGAGGATGGTCTGAGTGGAAAATGGTCTCCTTAGCAGGTGGACTACTCCATAGCCAGTTAGTAACAGTTACTGATATGAACCAGTGTCCACACTGGCAGTGGAACCTGTCCCTCTCCTTCAAAGAGAGTCAAGGATGGACCCAGCTCTGCCTCCTTCTCAATTACCATAGATGCTGACTATTCCTCCATTGATTCAATAGCATTTTTATTGAGCACCAACTATAGGCCATGTATCTCATGCTCTGGCAAAACACCAGAAAACGATACAGAGAAGCCTTGATGAGGTTGCAGCACCCAGGGACCAGACAGACAAATAAGAGAAGTAAATCAGTCAGGTGAGTGTGGAGCACCAAGAAGGAAACACAGCCTGATAAAGCAGTACCTGTGATTGCAGAGGGAGGCTGGATGTTTGACTTCAGGTTTGAAGGGTAAGAACATGAGAAACACTTTAAAAAATGAGATTTGGGGGCTGGAGAGATGGCTCAGCGGTTAAGAGCATGGCTGCTCTTCCACAGGTCCTGAGTTCGATTCCCAGCAACCACAAAGTGGCTCACAGCCATCGGTAGTGGGTTCTGATACTCTTCTGTCATAAAGTCATAGATGCAGATAGAACACTCATACATATAAAATAAAATAAATAAAGTATAAAAAATGAGATTTAGGGGATGACAGCGTCATAGTTACTTTTCTATTGCTGCAAAGAGACACCATGACCAAGACAGCTCTTGCTTACAAAAGAAAGCTGCTTGCTTGCAGTTTCAGAAGCAAGTTTGGTGCTGGAGCAGTAGCTAAAAGCTTGCATCCTGATTCACAGTTGGAGGCAAGAGAGAGGGAAAGAGGGAGAAAGGAAGAGAGGAAGAGAGAAAGAGATAGAGAGACAGACAGAAAGATGGACAGCCTGGGCCTGGCATGGGGTTTTGAAACCACAAAAAACATCCCAAGTGACAAAAATCTTCTAATTCTTCCCAAAACAAGTTCTATGATCCAGGGTCTAGGAATTCAAATATATGAACCTGTGGAGCCATTCTCATTCAAACCACCACGGGCAGTGAGGCCTGCAGCCCCAACGATCAGAAGGTAGTGGTAGAAAGCAGTGGAAGTTCAAGGCTAGGCTTAGTTACATGAGAGTTCAAGGCCACTCTGGAGTACATGAGACCCTGTCTCAGGGGAGAAAAAAAGGGAAATTGTGGTGGTTTGAATGAGAATGCCCCCCCTAGACTCATAAAATTGAATGCTTGGTCATCAGGAAATGGCACTACTTGAGAGGGATTAGAAGGTGTGGCCTTGTTGGAGGAAGTGTCACAGAGGGTGGACTTTGGGGTTGCAAAAGCCCAAGCCAGGCCCAGGGTCTCACTCTCCCTTCCTGCTGCCTGTAGATCCAAATGTAGAACTCTCAGCTACCTCTCCAGCACCATGTCTGCCTGCGTGCCACCATGCTTCCCACCATGATGAGAATGGACTAAACCTCTGAAACTGTAAGTAAGGCCTCATAAAATGCTTTCTTTTATATGAGTTGCCATGGTCATGGTGTCTGTCTTAGTCAGGGTTTCTGTTGCTGTGAAGAGACACTGTGGCCACGGCAACTTTTATAAAGGAAAATATTTCACTGGGGGCTGGCTTACAGTTCAGAGGTTTAGTCCATCATCATCAGGGCAGGAAGCATGGTGGCATGCAGGTAGACATGGTGCTGGAGAGTAGCTGACAGTTCTACATCCAGATTCGCAGGCAACAGGCAGAGAAAGTCACTGGGCCTGGCTTGAGCATCTGAAACCTCAAAGCCCGCTCCCAGAGACACATTTCCTTCAACAAGACCACATCTACTCTAACCAGGCCACATCTCCAATAATGCTGCTCCATATGAGTCTATGGGGGCCATTTTCATTCAAATCACCACAGTGTCTCTTTGCAGCAGAGAACACTGACTAAGATAGAAATAAAAAGAAAGAAATAAACTAGAGTCCACAAAGGCCCCAAGGAGTTGACCCACAGAATTAAAAGTTAGGTCCAAGGTGAGGTAAAAACAGATGTGAAAGTAGAGAACTGCGGTCCAGCTGTAACCACGCTGACTTCGATTGTGACAAAATGAGAACTTTCCTTTTTCTTCACACTTTTTGTTGAGATACTATAGGCATACAATAAATTATCCTTGAAGTATGCAGTTTGACAAATGCTGACATATGTGTAGACATGAGAAAACCGTAATTAATATAGTAGACCCATCCATCATCCTCTAATGCTTCTTCGTGCCATCTTCCAGTTCCCCTCCTTATCTTTCCCTCTGCCTCCAGAAAACCACCGATCCCGGCCATTAGGCTGGACTGTCTATAAGGTTATAAAAAGGGATTCATGTAGTATGCACTCATTTTTTCTACCTTCTTTCACTCCACATAATTGACACTCATCTACATCATAGCAGGTGGTGTTGTGAGAGGATTTGGCGGGTGGAGCCAAGGTGTCCCACAGCGGGTGAGAGACACCATGCAGACAGCGCTCAGTGGAGAGTTTTATTTTGTGGGGGGAAAAGAGAGGGGAGAGGGAAAGAGAAGAGAGAGACAGGGAGGGAGGTTGCGGGCTACCTCATGGCAAGAGGGGAAGAGAGAGAGTGAAGGGGAAGGAGTCCTTTATTAAAGGGAACGGAACATAGGATGACGTCAGGATGCTGGGCAGGCCGGGGTATTCTCTGCTTATTGTCCAGGATTCCTAGAAGTGGGTCTGAATGCTAACAGGTGGCAATGCTTTCCTCCCTCCCTCCCTCCCTCCCTCCCTCCCTCCCTCCCTCCCTCCCTTCCTTCTTCCCTTCCCCCTTCCTTCCCCCCTTCCCTCCCTTCTTCCTTCCTTTCTTTTTTTCCCAGAGCTGAGGATTGAACCCAGGGCCTTGCAGTTGCTAGGCCAGCCTTGCTCTTTATTGTCAAGTTCATGGTATAGCTATAACACTCACCTGTTGAACATCTGGTGTAGCATGAATCTTAAAGAGTCCTACAAATAAAATCAAACCCGAGGCCAGTTATTGGGGTGAATGCTGGTAGATCAGAGAGACAGAACAAGCCACAGCTACCTCACCTGGTCAGCTTCTCGGCTGGTCTTGTTTCCTCAGACTGGAAGCCTCTGGGTCCTCATATCTGAATGGCTCTCAGCTGAACTGCTGCTAGAAAGCCTGAAAGCTTAACCAGCCAAATGCTTAACCAGCCAAATGCTTAAGCAGCCTAATGCTTAACCAGGCAAAATGCTTAACCAGCCAAATGCCCCTAGTTTCTGGTCCTCACGCCTTATAAACCTTTCTGCTTTCTACCACCACTCCCTGGGATTAAAGGCTGCTTTCTGGGATTAAAGGTGTGAGTCACCATGCCTGGCTGTTTCCAATGCGGCCTTGAACTCACAGAGATCCAGAGGGATTTCTGTCTCTGGAATGCTAGGATTAAAGGTGTGAGTGCCACCATTTTCTAGCCTCTGTATCTAGTGGCTGTCTGTTCTCTGACCCCAGATAAGTTTATTAAGGTACACAATATTTTGGGGAACACAATACCACCACAATCTGGGCTGTTTCCAGTGTTTGCTATTACAAACAAACCTGCTATAAATGTCTATGTGCACACCTTCGTGTGGAGACATGCTTTTATTTCTCCCGACAAACGCTCAGCAGAACAGGTAGCTCGTATTGTAAACTTGTGTTTAATTTTCTAGAAAACTGTTGTTATTATCATTATTATTATTTACAAATGGTGCTGTGCCAGTTCACATTCTTACTGATAGGGTGCTTAGTTCCTGTTTTATTGCTGTGCTGAAACACCATGACCAAGGCAAATTATAAAAGAAAGCACTTAGTCTGGCGTTGGTGACCCACATCTTTAATCCCAGTACTCAGGAGGCAGAGGCATGTGGATTTCTGTGAGTTCAAGGCCAGCCTGGGCTACAGAGTGAGTTCCAGGACAGCCAGAGTTACACAGAGAAACCTTGTCTAGAATTAAAAAAAAAAAAGCATTAAATTGAGGGGCTTGCTTACAGCTTCACAGTTTCAATCTATGACCATCATGGTGTGTAGAACAGTGGCAGGCAGGCAGGCATGGCACTGGAGCAGTAGCTGAG